CCCAATTCCCCAGCACTGTTCCCATCCCCCCAATTCCCCAATAAAAATCTTTAAAAAAAAAAAAAAAAAAAAAGACAAAACCAGTCCTTCCAGGGGTGCTCCTGTCTTAACTTGGACTGTGCCAATCAATCCCTTGAGCCATTCCTTGGCCTGTAAATGCTCAGTTGAGGTGTGTCTCAGCCCAGAATGTGTCTCCTTAGCCAAAGTGACTCATCACACTGGCCAGAGCAGTTTCTGAACTAAAAATTCCCTCCACTTATTGCTTTTTAAAATGTGCCCTGCGATTTCCAAAGATGGAATCCAAACCCTAAGCTTGTTCTTGCCTAAATTGGCTGCCTGCTTTCAGTTGTGGCTCATGGACACGATCAGATTCATCAGAGAACAAGGTCTTAGCCCCTTCGGCCTCCATTAGTAGGAATGCGATGTATGGTGACTGCTGAGCAATGCCAGCACAGTCCTTCCTGTAGCATCTACAAGCCTGAGCTCCTTTAGGACTGAACTGTAGGGTTTTTTCCATTCCTGCAAAGAGATTGAAAAATCTCTCTCGCACTGACATCTAAGAGGCTATGAAAGGACCCAAGGAAATAACCACCTGCAGTAGATCCAGCAGGGTGTAGGTGATTTTTCACAGTGAAGTGAGGTTTTTTTTATCTGTGCTCTGGGTGGGCTTTGCAAAAGCATTCTCACTTCTCCCCACCTCTCCTTCCTCCTCTACTTTAATTTCCTGTATATGAAACATTTTCAGAGGGATCTGATTTCTGCATCGCCAGTCCCATCGGGTCCTCTGCAGAGGGATATGCAAAATAGATACTGCAGAGCAAAGAGGCAGCCAGCGCCAGCCCACTGGGTGACAGTTCAAGTTTGTGAGCACAGTTGCTTAGCACCTGTAAAAGGAGGAATGTCACCTAAAGCTCTCCTCTCTAGGGGTATCAGCAGCTGTGGTGTTTTGACTTGACTGACCCCACAGCTTTGTTGCTTTTTTTAATCCCCAAATTCCCCCACCCTTTCCTTCACTGGGTGGTTACACACAACACAGATCTGTCACCAGCAGGTTATGGTCTGGGAATTTAGGGCCCCCAGATATTGTGTTGTGCCTGCAGATCAGGGGAAAGCCCCTGACAGCCTCCTTGTACTGGAGAAGGAAGAATTTCTGGGCAGTGCTGAAGTTAGACATCTAAGGTAGTTTTTGCTTTGTTCACTTTGATTTCCTTCTACGTTTAACATTGGTGGTGTTTGTATGTTACTTTCTGTGATTCTTTTGGCCTGTGATTTTTAGCCCCTTTTGCCTTCATTGATCTCTCTTCTTAGTCTAAACTTAGCCTTGAGAAACAGGGAACTCTCCAGTTTGGAATACCTCTGCCGGTTATGCTCTCAAGCCTGTGACCTCTGAAGCCATGCAGCCCTTTCTTGTGTGATGCACATCCCATTATCTTGTTTACCTGCTTATTCTCAGAGCTCCAAAAAGAACCTCTAGGTTGGTGAGGTTTCTTTGATAAAACAGCTTTATGTGCACTGAAAAGAAAATTTTTTGTTTGTTTTTAAATTGGGGAATTGGGGATGGGAACAGCGCTGGGGAATTGGGGGAAGAGGAACAGACAAGCTGCTGTCCTTTTGTTCTTTTTTTTTTTAAGATTTTTTTATTGGGGAACTGGGGGGATGGGAACAGTGCTGGGGAATTGGGGGAAGAGGAACAGACAAGTTGCTGTCGTCTTTTTGTTGTTGTTGTTCTTCAACTTGAGCCAGTGGAGGACGTTGCTTCACTGGCTCAAGTTGGCACCATCATTGCGCTCTTCCCGGGCAAGGCAGATCAGTCGCCAGCTTCTGGACAGCTGCTCACAGCGGCTGCTGGCCGCTCACACTGGCTGCTGGCTACACACGGTAGCCCATGGCAACCCACTGCAGCAGGGGCCGCAGCCTACGCCGTCGCCGGCGACTCATGGCAGCCCAGCTCCAGGTTGAGCTGTTGTTCAGCATCTTAGCTGTAGACGGCAGTGTCACTGGCCCTCATATGTGGGATCCGAACCGGGGTCCTCTGGCGTCCCAAGCCAGCTCTTAACCAACGCGCCACTCGGCTGGCCCAGAAAATTGTTTTTAATGTAACTAAACTCCTGTAAGAAACAAATGCCAGATAGTTACATAATAGAGCTGTCAGAGAGCAGGCTGAGGCCCCCTGGGATTTCAGTGGCCCCTTTTCACATTTCATTCAACAGTTATCAACTGAACACTGGCCAGCTGTGGAGCCCTGGGCCAGGCATGAATGGGGAGGACGGATGGAGCTGTGGACCAGACCACTGTGGGTCCTCCCTTTGTGGATCTGTCTACAGCCCTGCCTCCTGCTACCAAGAGGGGCAGTTAGTCCCCATGACAGGACTGGCGTCATCAGATGCAGCGGTCTCTTCTGTTCTTTCCCGTAGCTCCCATTGAAAAGTACCATAATCCCTTTTTAAACCTTGCAAAGCAAAAGGAAAGTAGAAGTTTGTCTTTTTCTTTATCCCATTTTATCAGCCAATCCTTTATTCCTTTATCCTAAGGGGACCCACAAAGGACTTAAGGCAGCCCCGAGACAGTACATATTTGTTTTCCATTGATTACTGAAACAAAATCCATGGGTGTCTCAGTTGGAGAGTAGCCCTGTTGCCATCCTGCCATAAATACAAGCTTAGCCTGGAAAAATACAGTTGGGCTGAAAAGAAGCTACATATTGGCTTTGTTTCCAGAGACTTTTGAAATGATCCTTAACCCCTCATACCCATCCCACATCCCACCAGTAACCGTCTCTCCCCCACATAGTAATGAATTGAAGAAAGATGTTAATGGGTTACATGTTTGAGTCTCTTCCATAGAAGCAACAGAAGGGACAAAGTGAGTGAGTTTTCTCCAACTAAATATCTGTTTTTGGGGCTGTGTAATTTTCTTACCATGTGAAACTACAGGTAAGACTGGAAGATTACACTTGAAAGTCTCGAGGTTTTTTGGATTGAGCCTTTAGCTACTGCCAGGCCTGTCCTCTCTCCCAGATGAGGGAAGCAGAATTGCTTTATCAGTAGGGCACAGGTGCTGAGCTCAGACCTGAAATGGTCTCCCAGTTCAGCCACTTACAAGCCATGTGGCCTTGGGCAAGTTACTTAACATTCCTGGGCCTTAGTTTCCTCATCTGTAAAAATAGGGATAAAAAAACAGTTACCTTGGGCTGGCCGAGTGGCTCGTTGGTTAAGAGTTGGCTTGGGAGCATGAGCTCTGAGCATCAGGGCCGCCGGTTTAGATCCCACATGGGGGCCAGTGATGCTGTGCCCTCCACAGCTAAGATGGTGAACAACAGCTCGACCAGGAACTGGGCTGCCGTGAGTCGCCACCAGCGTAGGCTGCAGTGGGCTGCCTTGAGCTACCATGAATGGCCGGCAGCTGGCGTGAGCTGCTGTGAGCGGCCGTCCAATGGCCTGCGACTGACTGCCTCAGCCAGGAAGTCAATGATCATAATACCAACATGGACCAGTGAAGCGATGTCCTCCACAACTAGACTGAAGAACAAAAGGACAGCAACTTGTCTGTTCCCCTTCCCCAATTCCCCAACGCTGTTCGCCTTTGCCAATTCCCCAATAAAAATTTTAAATAGTCTTTAAAAAAAAAAAAAAGCAGTTACCTTATTGGTAAGATTAAATGAGATAATGTATGTAAAGCCCCTGGCTTTGAGAGGGGCTCAGTTAACGATAGCTTCTTAATAAATGTTAGAACAATCCCAGAAGCCTCTGCCATGTGTCCAGGACAATTGGCTCCTATGTAGCTTCTTTTATCTTTCATCTGTTGACCAAGAAGAGCTATTGAGGTTACATAGTAGGTGACCAATAAATGTTTGTTGAATGAATGTGAGGGCCTGGGTACTTTCTTTGTCCTATTGCCTTAGAGCAGCACTTCACACTGTTTTACACTAGGAGATGTCCTGAGAGGTGCTTTGAGAAAACTGTCCAGTTAGGTTTGGGGAACACTATAGAGTCTGCAGTGTATGAATGCTAGCGCTCTCCAGAGATGAATAAGGCATATCACTGTTAGAGAAGCTGGAAAAGTTGAGAGAATAAATCTCCGTAGCTTTTTTTTTTTTTTTTAGCTGAGCCATCCTGCCACCTGTTGGCAGCTCAGCTCGGGCATCGAACCAGCGACCCTGTTGCTCAGAGCTCGCCCTCTTGAGCAAGCTTAACCACCTGAGCCACTCGGCCAGCCTTTGTCCTTAGCTTTTTAAACTCAACATTTTCCAAGCTCATTTGACTTTGTAGGGCAATGATAGTACCTCAGTGAGGATGTGGTGAGGCTCTAATGAGTAAACCTGTGTGAAGCACTTAGAACAGTGCTGAATAGAATATGGTCACGATGGAGCTGCTGTCACCGTGATTGTTAGGTGCTTTCTAATCTGTGGACTCTTCCAGAGTACGGAGCCATTTCCGTATTGATGGGCATTTAAGTTATTTCCGATGGTGCATTGTTTTGGACAGTGCTGCAGTAAACCCCTTATATCCTGTGCAGATATTTCTGTGGGAGAGATTCCTAGAAGTAAATTGTTGGGCCAAAGGATATGCACATTCAAAAATTTGATAGATCCTTCAGAATTACCTTCCAAAATTTGATCAGCCATTTATCTAATAGTTCATTTGCCCAGTAGAGAGATAAGAAGCTATCTTCCCATACCGCACATGTGCTGGATCCTTCTCGCCTCCTCCTGTGGAACACAACAGAAAGTCACTCCTCTTTTCTGTCTTGCAGAGTCTGGCCACAGATAAAGGACCAAAATGACTGACTCAAAATATTTCACCACGACCAAGAAAGGTACTGTTTGTCTCATTATGGGGTTGTGTCCTGCTTTTTCCCTGCCCAGCCCTTCTGCTTGCTCCTTACAGGGGGTGGGGTGGGGTGGGGGCCTGGAAGCGAGTGGTGGGAATTACCCAGAGCATCTTTAACCCTCTGGATCCAGAAAATTAAACTTTGATGGTGTAAGAAATTGACCACTTCTTTCAGAATTCAAAAAGGGAAGAGTATTAGCTCTAAGTATAGAAAAAAAGACCTTTTGTTCCCCATGGCTTAAAATTGTTAAATATTGGGTTGTCGGAAAAGTCATGACATTTTTTCTGTTTTTCATTGCAAAAATGCATCATGCCTTTTTTGACAACCCAATATGATGTGTTTTTCCTGGAGGAAAGAAGGTATACAATGCTATCAGCAGCCACACAAGGATATGTGTGTCTAGTCCTTATCCAAGGTCACATGTTTTATGTGGTTAAGTCAGAGTTTATATTCTGTTTTTCATTTGACATTATCATAAACATTTCCCCACAGTTCTGACAACTCAGTCTACTGAGTCGCTGCACTGAAATTTGCTAAGCTCATCTTATATTGTTGCATATTCTGATTGTTTCTGCTTTTTGGGAAATGGAGGCTGTTTTAGCAGCCGACAAATATGCTTTGACCCTGTAAGCATCTTCTGACTGGTCCTTCCTTCCTCCCTACTTCCTTCCAAATGAGATTGACACACGCCTGCTGACCAGATTAAAAGAGTCTGTTGTTGGGTCAGCTGCCCCTTCTCAGGCATTTTATTTATTGGTCCAGCCAGTTTTATTGAACACCTTCCATGTACAGTGACAGAGACAGTCTCTAAACTGGCTTTGCTTGTGGTTGAGCAGAGAAGACAGTTTATTAAGTAGTAATCACTCTGAAGGGCAGTGGGTGCTATGATAAGGGCAGTGTAGGAGGCTGTGGGAGGGCCCTGGGTGGACCTGGCTAGATAAAGGGGCTGGGGCTGGGGAGGGAAGCAGGGCAGTGCCCTTGGTACATTCAGGGAAAGAAAAGCACTTCGGCAGAAGTTACTCAAGAGTGTGATGGAAGGAAGGTTGGAGAAGTGCAGGGATCAGGGCCTGGTGAGCCAGGCTGGAGGGGATGAACTTAGTGCTGAGTGTATTGGGGTGTCAGTGCTGGTGTTTTTGTGTGTTTTCTTTTGAAGAGAATGTCTGTGGAGAGATGCCTAGGTCCAAATCTGACATCAGTGTTGGTTTTAAGCAAGGGAAGGGAGGCCCAAGGCAGATTCTAATAAAGACGTGAAGGGCCTGAAGCTGGGGGAGGCAGGGAGGCGGTACCATAGCTCTGATGAGAGATGGAGATGATGGTGCCTGCCTGAGCTAGGGGATGGCAGTTGGGTAGAGAGAATCAGGTGCCTTGTATGTGATTGAGGAGCTAGGCTTAGTGACAGGAAGGAGAGACATTCAGATGCAGGCAGATCCCAGGTTCACCTTACCAGCCTTCTTGAGGCCAAGGTGACTCAGGCCTGGATCCATCCATTGACAGCCAGTTGTACTGTAACCAGCCAAAGGTTTCCAGCAAAGCAGGGGCAGCCCTGCAGTAGGGCCCAGGGTCAAAGTCATCATGGTCTGTTGGAGTCTATAGCTGAGAGACATGGCCCCTCTCTGTCTCTTGGAGAAGAGCATGGCTTCCTTCAGCCCTACAGAGCCATGAATTTGAACTGCAAGGTCTGCAGATTCCTCTTGGCTCTGGTGAGCAATATCCTCAGTGTGGCCTTGCCCCGGGCTGTGCTGTGTGTTCTTAATTAACCTTGTTTGGAGTTCTTTGCTGAACACCACATTGTTCAGTCATGATAAAAACCTGCTGGTTTTCTTTTCCTCACTGTAAATCTGTCTAGAACTTCCTCAGCACTTACCTCCACACGACAATCTGCTTTACCCTCATCCTGAGTGAGTAACTTGAGAGGGAAGCCCAGGACTCTTATTCTACAAAAAAGATAACCAAGACAGAGAGTTGCGTGGTGAATTAATAATAGTGGCCACCCTTAATGCAGGCTGCTGAGTGACAGGCACTGAAATGAGAGGCTCACATCTGAGTTTAACACTCAGAGAATCCAGTGCCCTGGTCAAGGTAGAGTAGAGATGAGGAAATCGGTCCAGGAGCCGGCCAAGTAGCGCGTTGGTTAAGAGCTGGCTTGGGACGCCAGCTCTGAATAGCAGGGCCCCGGTTCGGATCCCACATGAGGGCCAGTGACGCTGCGCCCTCTACAGCTAAGATGGTGAACAAACAGCTCGACCTGGAGCTGAGCTGCCATGAGTCACCAGCGACGATGTAGGCTGCAGCCCCTGCTGCAGTGGGCTGCCATAAGCTACCGTGTGTGGCCGGCAGCCGGCGTGAGCTGCCAAGAGCCGCCGTGAGCGGCTGTCTGGTGGCCAGCAACCGATCTGCCTCATTTGGGAGAGCACAATGATAATACCAACATGGGCTAGTGAAGCAACGTCCTCCACAACTAGACTGAAGAACAAAAGGACAGCAAGTTGTCTGTTCCTTTTCCCCCGATTCCCCAACGGTGTTCCCCTCCCTCAATTCCCCAATAAAATCTTTAAAAAAAAAAAAGGAAATCGGTCCAGAGAGGCAGAGTGTGTGTCCTGGGTCAGCCTGGGCATATGGGCTTTGGAGCTGGCAGACCTGGTTTTGAATCTTGGCCTACCTCCTATCCTACCAGCTGTGTGTCCATGGGCAAGTTACGGAACTCTTTGCAGCCCCCATTTGCTCATCTATAAAATAGGAAATGCAGAGTTGTGAGGATGACTTGAAAAAAAGCGTGGGAAGAAGTTAGAGGGGCGCCTGGCTTAGAGAAAGGCTCAGGAAAGCCTGGCGGCAGCTGTTCTGAGGGCGGGAAGCCTGTCACTCCAAAGCCTGCCCTCTTAACCTTTTACTAGGTTTATCAGGGTCCTGACTACCTCTTCATGGCAGGGCCCCAAACAGCCCTACTTCCTCATTTTCTTTTTCTAGATCATCAAGTTCTTAAAAACAGTTTATTACGTGCTAGGTCCTTTGTGGGGCAACTGAATTCCCATTTTCAGAGCTGAGCAGCCACTTGGGTCTCAGGAAGTGAAACCCTGAGTGTGCTGTTTTAACTAGAAGTTCTAGGAAAACAAGAAAAGCCAAGTGTGGAAATCGAGCAAATCCTACCTCCTCCCCTCAAAACTTAAGTCCCCAGATTCCATTACATGCTGCCCTGAGGGATTTGGGTACTGGTGGCTGAGGAAGACTTTGCTTCCCTCTGTATCTTTTCAGCCATCTGGCTGGATCGCTTTTTGTCTCTCTCACAACACCTGTAGCTTCCCCGTTCCTCTCTTCAATCCAATGTGACCTCCAAGCTTTCATCTTGATAATTCCTCTCCTAACAGTTGTTTCTCTCTGCTGCCTGTTCCACCCGAGACCACGTGCCTAAAGCTGCCCTCAGCCTGCAGCCTGGAGTGTCTTACCTGCTTCTCTCTCACTCTTGGAGAAGTTGGGGACTGGGAATCTCCCCCTGGCAAGGTGGGGATAGATCATTCATGCCTGCCTCCTTTTTTAGGGGAGATCTTCGAGCTGAAGGCAGAGCTCAACAGTGACAAGAAGGAGAAGAAGAAGGAGGCGGTGAAGAAAGTAATTGCGTCGATGACTGTTGGCAAAGATGTCAGGTGTGCAGGAGTAGGCCAAGTGGCATCTCCTTCAGGGCCTCTCTAGGGACCCACGTCTCCCTTCATCTAGCCCCCTTCACAGACCTCCTTTCCGAACAGAAGGCTTTATTTGCAGAGGGGTCATAAGCTCCAATGCTAATGGGGTCAAGCAGTAATGGAGTGAGTGAAGTGGACGTGGCATGAACCCTGTCAGAAACTCCAGAGGATTGCTGCCCGCTGTGGAAAATTAACCCAGTGTGGCCAGGTCTTCTGGTTTTTAAAAAAGAATGAGAAGTTAGATTTTTCCTTTTTTTTAAAGATTTTATTGGGGAATTGGGGGAAGGAACAGCATTGGGGAATCAGGGAAGGGGTGATTTTTTATTTTTAATCTCCCTATTTTAGATTGCCAGATGATATTAAAGAAATGAACACTGCGCATGTAAAACATACCTGCACATTGGATTTTTCCGATTTGGCATTAGTTGGCAGCCTCTGGTTTGCCTATGATTGCCAGGACAGATCGTGTAGAATTACTGCCCCACCTTTGCTCATGCTTTCCTCCTTCCTGAAATGTCCCTTTCCCCTTTTTCATTCACCCAGCTTTTCTTTCCATCTTTAAAACCCATTCAAGGTCTCCCTGCTGCCTCTACTCATCATCCTAGCCCAATGCCGTAAATACACAGCATTTGCTCTATGTTCCTATCACGTGGTACTAATTCTAGACTATTCTCCTCTTATGTGTATTTGTGTTTACTTGCCCACCACATTGTAAAGTCCCCAAGTGTTACAGCTTAACACTTGCACAGTGTTTGAGAATCTGCAGAACTGTTTCAGATATGTCTTTCCAGAAGTTCCCTTACAATTTCCGTATTGTAGGTAATGATGATTTTACTGCTAAAGAAACAAAATAAAGGAGTACAATGACTGTCCAACAGTCACATGGTTAACGGCAGAACTAGGACTCATGCCCAGCCCTTCTGAAATCCAAATCCGTGGCTTTTGCCCATTCCCTCCCCTCTGTGCCCTCATGGTGCCCAGCCCCATGCTTTGTACACCCTGGTGCTGACATGGGACCGCTCCCCATCTGGGTCACACAGCAGGATCACACTGCTCCAGACTTCTCCAGGGACTGCCCTGTCCCATTACTGCCCTCGGGGAGCAAGGATCCTGACAGCACCACAGGAGAGAAACAGTTCTGCAGAGGGACCTGCTGAAGACAGAGTGGCAAAGGGATTAGGCGTCTGCTGGAAAACTGTGCCTCCTTCCAAATCAGGTTCCTTCTAGGACAGAGCCACTTGACTTCAGTAGAACGCCACTGTCACCTCCTCACAGCGGAAGCCTCTTTGGTCTTCCATCTCAGAGGAGCTTGTTATGCTGATATGACGGGCCCAAAAGAGCAAGTTGGGCTCATCAGCTGTTTCTCCTCTCCCCCGCACCACCCCACCCCACCCCACCCCACCCCTGCTTTCTTCCTGGTATGTCATCTTTCATCTTCCAAGGTGATCTATCAGTTTTAGCACTGACTGGTCTCCTGCCTGTTGGGGCTCAGGAAGTTTACTTTGACCTCTTAAGTCTCTTGTTACTGTGGCCATACCCATAAAATCACAAGACTTTAGAGGGAAGGTGATGATTCCAGAGACAGAAAATTGATCTCTAACCATATTTCACATCTCAAGGGGCTTGTGACTCTGGGACTGTGAGTGCCACGTTGGTTCCACCTAGAATAACAGCAATCCTCAGCATGGCTTTTGAAGTCAAGCTGGCTCTTCAGGTCAGTTATTTGACATTTAGGAGCCTCGTGTTATCTTCTGTAAAACGGGGATAATCCCCTAGCCTCTTGGGGCTTTTAAATGAGATTAAGTACATACGTAAAGCCCTTAGTGCCAAGCCTGGCATATAGCACATGCTCTGTACATGCTGAGCTGATTTTTAGTGGGCACCTGAGCTGGCCCTTGTGGTGAAAGCAGCATGGCCCTTCCCTGGTTCTCTACAGCCCTCCGGAGCCTGCAGCCCTGTATAAGGGCCACGTTAAGTATCAGGGAAGGAAAAACAACCATTTTCATTTATTTAGCGTCTCCCAGATATCAAGTATGTTGTCTTTAATTACACAGGGGCCCTGTGAAATGGGGTTTTGTTGCACCTTTCTTGCAAATGAGGAACAGACTCGGGAGTTAGGGGAGATGAAGGAGTTTTCCCAACTTGATACAGCTAACAAGACAAAGCTGAGTTTGAGCCAGGTCTCATGGGCTCCAGAGCCTTGTTTGAACCCTGGGAAAAGAACAGAGGACTCTTTTTGCTTTTAAAATCACCCTTTGGAATTCCATTTTTACCGGTAGGTGTTCATGGTAACAGAGCATAGCTGATGTCCTCCCTTTTACTAGGAAGTCCTGTTATCTTTCTCCTACCCTCCTATCCACTGTCTCCCCGCACTCCTCCCACCCCACTAGCTGCCTGAAAAATCTTCCCCTTTCTTTGGCCTTCCCCACACTGATGTCATTTTGACCTTCTAGTGCCCTCTTCCCCGACGTGGTAAACTGTATGCAGACGGACAACCTGGAACTAAAGAAGCTGGTGTACCTGTACTTGATGAACTATGCCAAGAGTCAGCCCGACATGGCCATCATGGCCGTCAATACTTTTGTGAAGGTGAGTAGGAGCCTAGTGGGAGCAGTGGTATAGGTGCTCACTGTTCCTTCTCTCCTCGACCTCCTGGGGTGAAGCACTATGGCCCTGGGTAGAAACACGCAAGCTCCTTTCCAGGCCTTCTCACTCCCATCCTGAGGGCTTCATCTTCCAGCAAAGGGCTCCCACTCTCCAAAAAATCAGATGCTATAGAACCTGCTAACTCATTCTACGTGAAGTCACACAAGCCCTGTTGATCCCCGAGTTCCCCTGGGGTCAGCCATTGCCTGCATCCTTTGCCAGGGCAGGATTCAGCAAATGTCTGAGAGCTTCTGTGTTCCCCTTCTAGACTTTGCTGCTTTCTGCATTTTTTGCCCCTCCAGATTGAGGAACAAATGGGGACTTGAATTGTCAGCTCTGTGCACCTTTATAATCTTAGCTCCCCGATCCCTGTTTATGCTCAGATATGGCCAAATGAGGGGTTCTGTGGCCCAATGGGAAGATTAAGGGTTGTGGTGCTAGATGGATGTGAGTTTGACTCAGCTCCACTTTGTGACTGGGTGAGCTCCCAACCTTCCTGAGAGCCTCAGCTTCCTCACCTGTAAAATAGGAAGAGTGTTGTATGTCTGTTGTGTGGATCAGAGGTGACAAAGCCCAAAAGCCCAGCACAGTATCTGGCATATGCTAAGTGCCCATATGTGGCACTTTTGATGCTGTTGGCCGCAGTTGGTGGGAGATTCCCACAGCAGCCATCTGATGTTGCTCAGCCCACCCCTGCCCCCGGCCAATGGCTGGTTCCCCTCAGGACTGTGAGGACCCCAACCCCCTGATCCGGGCCCTTGCTGTGCGGACCATGGGCTGCATCCGTGTTGACAAGATCACAGAGTACCTGTGCGAACCACTCCGGAAGTGCCTGAAGGATGAGGACCCATATGTGCGCAAGACGGCAGCTGTGTGCGTGGCCAAGCTCCACGACATCAACGCCCAGCTGGTAGAGGACCAGGGCTTCCTAGACACCCTTAAAGACCTCATCTCTGACTCTAACCCCATGGTAAGCTGCTGCCACCCACCATGCCACCTCCACCACCTCGTGGGTTGCTTGGGAAGACCTTGGCTTGACCCTCCGCCAGATAGTCTCCAGTTCCTGGAAGCCAGAGCCTTGCTGGGTGGGCTAATGGTTATCATGTCTACAGTGGTTCAGACACCACCTTTGGGGTGAGCTAGACCTGGATTCTCTTCTTTGCGCACTCTCTAACAAGCTGTGTGACTTTGGGCAAGCTGCCTAACCTTCTGAGCCCTGTTTTCTTCATCGGTAAGATGGATCTAATCCTACATGTTTGGCAAGAGTGCTGTAACGCTTAAGTTGTGAAGGTAATGTGCCTAGTATGGCCTGGCACACAATAGGGGTGCAACCAAGACTAGTGCCCTCCTTCCAGTCACTATCATTGTCACTGTCTTCTCACCAAGACCATCGGTGAGCTCTGAATGTGAGGTGCTTTTCCCTTTCCCCACATCTTTGCAGGGTTATAGAGATCACCCTGGAAGTAGCATAGCCTGAAGGACAGGACATCAGGTTGTAGATGGGAGGGGAACTTGTCTCCTCACACACAGCGGTGGCAGCAGTTCGGCTGACCCTGTTTAAAATGAAATGCACAAACCCCTCGGCCCAGCCATCCCACTTTGTGTCCTACAGAAACACTGATCACACACTGGCGCTGAGTGGCCAGTACACGGATAGCCCTGGGAGCACTATTTGTCATAGGGAAAAGTTGAAAGCCATGCAGAGCACACATAAAAACAGCTGCTCTGGTGGAAATGGGTTGAGGGCCCAGAGCTTCACCTGGCAAGCCCCTCTGTATTCCAGCCCCCATGTGTTCCCAGCAGCCCCAAGGGCCTCTGCAAGAATCTTCTAGCTCTCAGAAGCGCTGTTGACAGCCTCTGAAGTGAGCTGTTGTAACTGGTAGATGGGGGCTGTGTGTTAGGTAGCTGGGAATGCTTTCTGTTGCCAGGCACCTGGAGCTAGATCTTCCTTTTGTTTTCCCTCATTTTGTTTAATGGCAAGTGCACTTATTTTAGTTCCAGTTTACAGAGGAGTCAGTAGGGTGAGTGCTTAGAGTGGGTTTCTATGCTCCAGACCCTGCCCATCGGGTCATATTTTTTTCAGGATATTCAACTTCTGACCAACCAGCATCATTAGTCCCACTGCCCTCTGGCCTGTGAGCAGTGCCCCCAGCCTCTGCTCCTTCCACCCTCTCAACCAGGTGGTGGCAAATGCAGTAGCTGCCCTCTCCGAGATCGCCGAGTCTCACCCCAGCAGCAACCTCCTCGACCTGAACCCTCAGTCCATTAACAAGCTGCTCACAGCCCTGAATGAGTGTACCGAATGGGGCCAGATCTTCATCCTGGACTGCCTGGCCAACTACACACCCAAGGATGACCGGGAGGCCCAGAGGTGAGCAAGCTGCCCCTTGCTTGCCAGTCCAGCCAGAGCTGGCCTCACAGGTTCTCTAACCATGAGCGGGACCTCAGGCTTCCAGTGGGCTCCTTCCCACAGACCATCCGCAGACACACCTCAAGGGAGGCCAGAGCCAGGCTGTCAGCGGTGTTGCTTAAGGCAGTCAGCTCACTGTTCTTCGTGGGCAGAGACAGAAGCCAGGGCCTGACCTGGGACCTGGCAGAGATCCTGGTCATCTCCAGCTGAGTGATGGAGGTGGATAGCATCACAGCCCCCTTTGTTGAATTCTCACCAGGTGTCTGGGGCTCTGCGGGTGCTTCCCATGCATTTGATAATCCTTAAAGCAACTCTGTGAAGATGGTCTTATCATTGTCCCCATTTTATAGGAAAGGCAACTCCAGCTTAGAGAAGTAGAGGAAATCGTGCAGGTCACCCAGCTGGAATTTCCCTGACTCTTGATCCTAACCAACATGATATCCTGCCCCTTTTGAACACGGTCACAGCAGAGGAAGGGAAGGAGTTGACATTTATTGAGTATTTACTACATTCTGGGCACTGTGCTGGTACTTTACATGCATTGTCTCATTTTAGCCCCAGCAATCCTGTGCAGTTGGCATCATCATCTTCATTTTCTAGATGGGGAAACTGAGTTTCAGAGTGATTTTTCCCACCTGCTTGGGATCAGTTTGCAGGCTGCAGAACCAGATTGAAGGTCTCCCACCTACAGAAGACATGCTGTCTTGATAACTAAAAACAGGTGTTTCCCCTTGTCTGTCTCCTCTCTGCCGCCTTGGAACATACTCCAGCATCTGTGAGCGGGTCACCCCCAGGCTCTCCCACGCCAACTCTGCTGTGGTGCTGTCCGCTGTGAAGGTGCTGATGAAGTTCATGGAGATGTTGTCCAAGGACCTGGACTACTATGGCACACTGCTCAAGAAGCTGGCCCCGCCCCTAGTCACACTGCTGTCGGCTGAGCCTGAGCTGCAGTACGTGGCCCTGCGGAACATCAACCTCATCGTGCAGAAAAGGTACCGGGACTGCCACACACATGCTGTGTGTACTCCTAGGGGTTCTACCGCTGGGAACAGGGTCTCGAAGGGAAACTTACATGTCACCATGCAGGAAGTCTCAGCTTAACCCAGGGATTCTTAGCCAAGGACAGCTTTGTCCCCCAGGGGACATTTCACAATGTCTGAAGACATTTTTGGTTGTTACACCTGGAAGTGCTACTGGCATCTACTGGGTATGGCCAATGATGCTGCGTAACAGCCCCACCACAGAGAAGCGTTTCGTCCAAAATATCAGTAGTGCTGAGGTTGAGAAACCCTGGTTCAGCCTAACCAGGTAGCAAAATCAGGTAGAAGCTAGCATGGAGCTTCTTAACCACAGACAACGGATGGCACCACAGTCCACAGAGCTCTCCAGAAATGGGTTGTAAGATTTTGTCTGTGCATATGCATTTTTCCTGGGACAGAGTCCATAGCTCTGGTCAAACTCCCTGAGGTTGGAGGACTGTGGGTGATGAGATACTGTGGACTCTGCATCAGCCTGGGGACCAGGGGAGAGGTATGTCAAAGTGGCTCTGAATGCTGCACAGCCCGTTTCCATCCTCCCCAGGGGAACGATGGCAGCAGTAAGCCACTGCTTCTAACGGAAGGTACTTGATGCCCAGGGTAGGTGGGGCTGAAAAGCAGTTAACAGTGCTGGGTCCAAGAGACCCAAAGCAGGAGGTGTTCTCTGGACCGACCCAGTGACGGAGCCCAGCAGCTCTGCAGAATGGAGCTGGAGTCTTCCCAGTCATTTTGGTCAAATAGCCCACTCAGCAACTAACTCAACAGCATCTGTGTGTTACAGTAGCCCTATTGGTGGGAGCGGGGCTGCGCCGATAAAAGGGCCTTATAGACATTCTCTCTTGGAATGACAAGGAGCACACACTCCTTGTCATCGTAGCATCAGTCTGGTTCTTAGGACACTCTTGGATACCCAGAGATATCATGGAATGGGGACATTTGTGAAGGTTTGGGAATTAAATATGGAAAAGCTCTGTGACACAGGGATTCACAGTTGCAGGGTGAGATTAGTAAGGTGTAGTAATATGGATCGTGAAGGGCTCTCTGAGCTATACTTAACATGACAAATCTCTTAAGAAGTTGACCGTGTTGCCAAGGTACCACCTGACCCAGTCCTGACATGTGGTTGGGCAGCTTTTGCCAGAAATCACTTCTTTCTGCGGCCCCCCAGCTCAGGATCCTGCCCCCTCCACACGCACAATGGAGGCTCCTTGCTTTGTCAGGACCTCCCTGTAGCTTGCACAGCATCACGGAGTACCCAGGATCCCTCCTTTCTCTCTGCTGTGTCTTCTCCCTTTTTCACCGTCTGTCCTTATTTTTCTTCCTCCTTTCTGTTCTGGAAAGTGCATAGCAGCAGGAGTTGGGGTGGTGACTCTCATCTTGCCTCCCATCCTTATTTACACTAGATGCGTGACCTGGTACAAGCCTCTCCACCTCTTAGCTTTCCTCATCTAAGAAAAATGAAGTGGGTAGTGTCAGTTGAGGAAGGAGCGATGACACTGGTGATAGCTCCTACGTAGCCAGTGCCTTCTCTGAGGCAGGCATCGATTATGCTAGATGCATCATGTCTAACTCTCACAGCAGCCCCGTTATGTAGGTGTCTGTTTCAGGGTCCTCAGGACCACCCCACATTCAGAGACTCGCTAGGACTCATGGGAGTCAGCATGCAGTTTTCCTCACAGCTAAGATTTATTATGGAAGTAGTGAGGATACACAGCTGAATCCTAAGGGAGAATGACACAGTCTGGAGGAATCCACATGCCGGCTTCCTTATCCTCCCTCCTATCTGTGGAGGTGGGGGTCACACAGAGCACACTCCCCCCTCAGCAACAAAATGTGTAATGTTTCTGCCTGGGCATGCCTATATGACACTCATGTGGGCACCCTCTGCCTGGCACCTACCAGAATTCCAGACTCCCAGAAGGAAAGCCGGTGTTTAGCATAGATCATATTGTTTATACAAACAGTCTAGGCCAGCGGTTCTCAACCTGTGGGTCGCGACCCCTTTGGGGGTCGAACCACCCTTTCACAGGGGTCGCTGGGTACTCGTATGTGGGTGTATCTGCATGTGGGCCTGTAGACTGATAGAGGAACAGTGTCTCGGTTCCTAAGACCATCGAAAATATGTGTTTTCTGATGGTCTTAGGCGACCCCTGTGAAAGGTTGAGAACCGCTGGTCTAGGCACAGTTAACCACCTTTATCATTTAGGGAGTGGTGAGAACACCCCCAAAGCTGAGTTCCCAGACTCCAGGCCTTTCTAAACGAGAGACCCAGGCCTGCAATGGTAATCCTTTCTGGCATAATGTCATGCCCATTGCATGGGTAAGGAAGTGGAGGCCTCAGTCACAAACTGGGATTGGAACTCAGGCCAAGCCCGTCGCCTGGTGCCTGCTGCGTCTCTAATGTGAACTGTATCTTGCTCGTATTTCCTCTTCGCTTCCTGGGATGTGGTTAGACACGCAGTGGCCAGTCAGCGGGCCTTCTGCCCAGGAGTGTGCAGCCATGGTGGCGACGGCCTTCACGGATGTCAGCAAATGTAAGGGGTTTTCTCACAGGGCTTATGCTAGCTTTTTTCTCTTCGGGCAACCCTGTCCCGCCACCAGGCCTGAGATCCTCAAGCACGAGATGAAGGTCTTCTTTGTGAAGTACAACGACCCCATCTACGTGAAGCTGGAGAAGTTGGACATCATGATTCGCCTGGCCTCCCAGGCCAACATCGCCCAGGTCAGCAGGAGGCAGGAGCCAGAGGCACGGGCCTTGGTGTTGGCCTCTGGGCTGCTGACTCTCACTATTAACAGTTCATCTCACGAAGTGTGCTCAGCATGGGGCATGGGGCTCATAACAAATATTAAGTGATAAAGAGTCTGTTCTCCCTGTTATTATTTACCCATCCATTGAAAAGTGGTAGTTAGGTGGATATGTTAGCTAGATCAACCTAAACAAGGTTGTCCAGCCCTGCCAACTGGTCCTTCCCTGCTTGCTTCTTGGGTCACCTGACAGCTCTCTCCCTTTGACTTTCCACCTCTAGCAAAAGGCAGAATCCCATCCTTCTAGGAATCTGTGCATCCTCACTGCCCAGGGGTGTTCCAAGAGGTTGTCCCACCAGATCCCCCCAACCCCATCTTCTCTGTTTGGGCTACAGGTCTTGGCAGAGCTTAAAGAGTATGCAACAGAGGTGGATGTGGACTTTGTACGGAAGGCTGTGCGAGCCATTGGCCGCTGCGCCATCAAGGTTGAGGTGAGGCTCTGGGACTCTCTCCTCAGCTGTGGGGGAAGAAAGCTGAAACCAGGAAACCAGTTTGATTGTAGCAGAATCTGCCATCTGCTCAAGGTCCAGGAATGCCTGAGGGTCATCACCAGAGCCCCCAACGCACCCATTGTACAGATTTGGTTGGGCTCCTTCTCACTCTGTAATCTCCGTTAGGCCTTTGAGTTGTTGCAGATGAAATGAACCTGTGGTAATCACAGGTTCTCCTGCAGCTTTAGCTAAGAGGACGGGGCAGCCCCCGCTAGTGGTGGCCCTGGTAGACTTAGCTTTCACTTCATGGAGCTTTGGGGCAGGGGCTCTGCCTGTCAAACGTTCTGGCGAGTATCATGATTCGGCTGTCCATGTGCTTCTTGCTCCAAGCTCCCGAGGGCTTTCCAGACCCCCATGTCCTGGCATTTCATCCCTCCCATTCTCTGCCTATGGAGATGTTCCTTGACCACTTGAGTTGAATCTCCTTAAATGGGCTCACTGGGGGCTAGGGGATCCTGGGACAGCTGGTCATCACAGCACCTTGTGGCATTTCCCCCTTGGCATCCGTAATGGCATCCTGAGAAATTTCTTGTACAAGGGCATTAGCACAACGTGTTGGAATTGGGGGCGTGAGGAATGTCTAAGAAGAGCTTTTCTAAGTTTTTGGTCATAGGAGACCATTTTAGGAAATAAGTAGAAGTGAGGCAGGGTCGGGCTGGAACATGGTCACTCTGCCCTCAGGACTTGGCCTGGAGGAGCCCCAAGGACTCTCCCCTCTTTCAGAAGCTCTACTGGCCTTCTTAGTCTAATTCTGTCTTCCTCTGTCCCTGCCATCCCAGGGCCATCATTTTGTACTCATTCTCCCACCTGTTCTCTGGGGGACAGTGTTCTGTTCTCCCGCTGGGACAAGGAAGAAGGTGTGACTGAGCCCTTGGCCAAGGCACAGTCATCAGAGGTTCTATTGGAGATGGGTTCAGGGGCCTTGTCCACAATCTCCTCTTCCCACACAGCAATCTGCAGAGCGCTGTGTGAGCACGCTGCTTGATCTCATCCAGACCAAGGTCAACTACGTGGTTCAGGAAGCCATCGTGGTCATCAAGGACATCTTCCGCAAGTACCCCAACAAGTACGTGCCCGCCCCTCCTGGCGAGGGTGATGTGGCTCTGCTGGGGATGGGGGTGGTGGGGAGGAAAAGCAAGGAGGAGCCTTTTGCCTCTTCTCTGCCACAAACAGTTTCTCAAAAGAAACCCTTTGTTTCTTCCTACTTCTCCTGAGCTGTTCCTCCTCTGCTCCACAGACCAAAACAAGAACTAAAATGTAACAGATAAAACTCAAATCCCATTACTCACCGCCCTGGCCCTCTTGAGGTTTTTCGGGGCATCTGCCTGTCTCTCTTAGCCCCTGCCGGGCCTCCCCTGAGTTGCCCAGGCTCCTTCAGTGCTCATGTGTCGGCCGTGTGCTGGTCTCCAGGTATGAGAGTGTGATTGCCACACTGTGTGAGAACCTGGACTCCCTGGATGAGCCCGAGGCCCGGGCTGCCATGATCTGGATTGTGGGCGAGTACGCCGAGCGGATTGACAATGCCGATGAGCTGCTGGAGAGCTTCCTTGAGGGCTTCCATGATGAGAGCACCCAGGTGAGCCGTCGAGTGGGCCGGCTCAGGCCAGGGTGTGGGTCTTCACCACTGTGGTCCATCTCCCCTCAGCCAGCAGGCCTCAGGGCCCTGCCCCTCCTAATATTGCGGTGATGGTGTGGACAGTAAGTGATGTATGGGTGACAGGTGTGGCCCCTTTTCTTCCCACACCACAGTACCTAAGGGGACATGTGAGGATGGCCTCTGATGGTGTGCCCTGAAGGCAGACAAAACTTTCTGGTTTGGTTTTTGTATTTATCGTTGGATAGATAATACATTGACTTGGTTCAAAATTGAAAAGATACAAAAGGATCCATGTAGTGAAAATTCTCTTTCCCACCACTTTCCTGGCTACCAGTTCTCCGAGAGATCACCAGCGTTATTTATTTGTTTCTTGGGAATATTTTCAGAGAGAGTTTAGAAATACACCAGCAGGTATACACAAACCTCTATACATGTAAACATACACACACACAGTCGATTCTTATTTGTGGTTCTTAGGTTCTGTAAAGTCACTGAATTAGCAAGTAAACCATTGCTCCTAGGAGAAATAGAGTTGGATTCCTACAAGCCTCTGGTCCCAACATTTTTGTCTACTGGTCAATAATACATAGCCTTGTTTTACTTGTGTTTCTGTTTAAAAACACCTTTTTTTAGCATACATTATCGATTCATTAACATTGAACTCATGGCCAACAGCACTCTAACTCATGCCTAAGCAAAGCTTACCTAGCAGGCATTCTCTCCGTAAGGCTCATCACAGACTTCTTGCACTTAGGAACACTACACAGCACTTCAGCACTACACTTGGGGGCCATTTTAAGCAGAAATCACCCACAAAAAGCACCAAAATGTGAAAGACGTGGCACTAAGTAGACTGTGAAATGGACACTTGCTTACAATGTGAGAATAAAAAGGTAGAGTGTCGCCTCTTTGACCTCAGCTGGGAATGTATACATCAGGTAACTCAGATTTTGCACTGCCCTGCACATGTCTGTGAATGACCGGGAAAGCACCCATGAGCATTGATATTGGAGTTACAAGTAAATTTTAGCAAGTAGGCAAATTTGTGAATATGGACTGTACAAATAACAAGGATTAACTGTATACATATTTCCCTTATTTATTTTTTAGTTTTTTATTTATTTATTTTTTTAGCTGAGCCATCCTGCCACCTGTTGGCAGATCAGCGGCAACTTAGCTCGGGCTGGGACTCGAACCACTGTTGCTCAGAGCTCACTCTCTTGAGCGAGCTTTTAACCAACTGAGCCACTCGGCCGGCCCCCTCATTTATTTTTAAACACTACTGATAGCATACTATACAAATTCAAATTGTTCAGCACCTTGCCTTTTTCCCTTAAATATATATCTAAAGACCCTGCTGTTATTAATTGCTGCCTGGGGTGGGGAAACAAATCCAGGCTTCTCTCTTGGGTTATCTTGGAGCGAGTTCAATGCACCAAGCCCATTTCCTCGTCTCTGGCACAGGGCTCCTGCAAAGCTTATTGGGTGATGTGGGTAAACTGCCCACTAGAGTGCTCAGCAAACAGTAGCTGTAGGTAGTGATGTTTTAATTAACTGGCCTGCTCCCTTTGCCTCCTGGGTTGACAGCACACTTCAAAGCTTTTATAAGAATACTTGTCTAATGCTTAGCAGTTGTTTGGGGAACTTATTTCGGATTGTCTCTTTGAGCCTCCTAGGTTCCTAGGCCTCTCAGAGGGATGGGAAACTCAGAAAGGGTGGTAGGTCAGCCCAGCCTGCGTCTGGCCCCTGTGTGGGTGGAGAGGCAGCAGCATCATTGCAGGGAGGTGGGAGGAGCTGAGCTCGTGGCCAGAGTCCCAGACGACAGCGTAGCAGACCAGACAGTGATGGATGATTCCAAGCAGCCAGCTGACCTGGGTTGGGAAGAACTTGGTAGAGTCCCTGTGTGGTGGCCCTGCTGATATTGACAACGATGAATTACAGCTTTTGTGCATAGAATACACAATAGAATCTTTGTTTGTTGTCTTATTGACTTTTCCACTAACCCTGTGAGATATTATACCCATTTTATAGATGGGAAACACTCAGAGAAGTTAAATGACTTGTCCAGGATCACCCAGCTGGGAAGTGATAGAACCAGAGTCCAAATGAGGTGTGATCTAACTCTAGCTCCAAGTCAGCTGCCATAAGTTGCCTTTGTTTTGTTTTGTTTTTTAACTTTATTGGGGAACAGTATGTTTTCCCCAGGACCCATCAGCTCCAAGTCAAGTTGTTGTCCTTCAGTCTTAGTTATGGAGGGCCCAGCTCAGGTCCAAGTCCAGTCACCGTTTTCAATCTAGTGGCGGGGGGGAAGTGGGCTGCGGTCCACCATCCCATGCGGGAGTCGAATCAGCAACCCTGTTGTTATGAGCACATGCTGTAACTAACTGAGCCACTGGCCACCCCATAAATTGCCATTTTCAAAGCTCACAAGAACCTCCGAAGTAGGGCACACCTCTCTCCCGCCAACTAAGGGTAAATGGCTTTCTCTATGTCATCCAGCCAGGTGGGCTAGAGCCAAGGGGCTAGAGCCAGGACTAGAAGCCAGTCCCTGGGCTGCCCCCTGCCTTGGAAATAGCCAGCCCACTGCTCCTCTGCCATTGGCCCAGGTGTAACCAAATCACAAGGACTCTGCATCGCCCGTTCCCAGAAATAGACCGCCTCCCCCTCTATCCTGCCTCCTGGTGTCATTTCACCCTGTACACCACAGTAATTAAGCCCTTTGTTTCTGTAAGTGCCCTCTTGCTGGACAGGCCCAGGATGTGCTGCCAGTTCTACTCCCGCCCTCTTGCTGCAGGCCTGTCCCTGGCTCAGGATCCTCAGGCTGCCCTCTTTTCCCAGGACTGGCAAAAATGAGATGTGGCTAAGGAAGGACTGTGTGCTGAGGATTGTTCTTTCAGAAGTTTTTTCAGTCAGCAGGTTTTCCTTAAGTGCCTGCTACACGCTGTACTAGACTGAGGACTAACCAGAGATACAGCTGTGACAGACATGATCTGCCCTCAGGGGGCTCTCTCCACAGGACAGCCCAGGGTCTGGAAAGCATTTCCAATACAGTGGGGGCTACAGTGTTGATGGGAGTGGGGGGGGGAGGTGCAGGAGGCTACAGAAGCGTCGTGGGGACTGGGGTCAGCATGAGTTCCAAGGGGTAAGGAGGTATTGACCAGGCTGAGGTCAGCAGGAGGCATGCTCAGGAGAAGGCAGCAGCCAGGTAGGAGGTAGAGGCTGAGAGAGGCCTGGGCAGGGCCTTCTGGTAGAAGCACTGCTCCTCAACAACAGGCAGTCCCCGGGCCTCACTAGCACCATCTCCACTTGATGACATATGGTCCGTTTAAGAAGCATACTAGCCATATGTGTTGCCTTTTTAAGCTGTGAGCTCCTTGAGCCACTGTGTGACCCGGAGCCCTGACAGGTTTCTGCGACCCTAGGACTGGGCAGCAGCCCCTGGCCTGCCCAGGGTTCCCAAGTGGTACAGTGGCCAGCTCCTTCCTGAGTGGTAATGCCAAGGTCTAGGCCACTCAGCGCTACCAACACCCCCTGCTGGCTGTAGTCTGTGTTCCATGACCACTCCCAAACCTAGGAAAGCTGTTCTCTTCTGGGGCCTTTGAACGCTCTTTTTCCTCTTTGAGGCCCTCATTTGGTTTCCTTCTATCCCCACCTGAAGCCCACACTTCTTCCTCGTCATCTGTCTTACCGCAGGTCCAGCTGCAGCTGCTGACAGCTATTGTGAAACTGTTTCTGAAGAAGCCGACAGAGACCCAGGAGCTGGTGCAGCAGGTCCTCAGCTTGGCCACTCAGGTGGGTGCCGCAGCCTCCCTGCTGTGTCCAGCACAACTCTTGCTCCACAAGGGGCGTTTCAGCCGAAGGAGCCAGACCTGAGTGGTCATGTCCCTAAGAATGCCACTATTGTGGGTTTGGCCCCAGCGTAATCCAGATTGCCTGCTCAGGGAGCTCAGTCATTAACAAATCAAGATGGAATGGGGTCAGGTGGTCAAGTTGAGACAGACTGTAAATGAGAGAGGAGGGGGACGTCTGTAGAACCAGGCAGTTTATATGAGGGCAGGGAGGGCAGACTTCCCATGGAGGGGAATGGAGACGGGAGTGGGCATGACCTGTTCAGTGAGCTAGAGTGGAAGAGGATCTGGGAGGCCATGTGCATTTAAGCTTCTCCTTCCCCTTCCCTTTCCCCTCACCCGGTTGCTCTGCTCTGAGTTTCATGGGCCTCTCATCACCCCCAATAAGGACTCAGATAACCCGGACCTGCGGGACCGTGGCTACATCTACTGGCGCCTGCTCTCCACCGACCCAGTGGCTGCCAAGGAGGTGGTGTTGGCCGAGAAGCCGCTCATCTCTGAAGAGACGGACCTCATCGAGCCCACGCTGCTGGATGAGCTCATCTGCTACATCGGCACGCTGGCCTCTGTCTACCACAAGCCGCCCAGCGCCTTTGTGGAGGGGGGCCGGGGTGTGGTGCACAAGAGCCTGCCGCCCCGCACCGCCTCGTGAGTGAAGTGGGCCAGTCGCCGGGCTGAGCCTCCCCACCTGGTTCCTCAGTTCAGTAGCCCAGGAGCTCAGGCCTGAAGTGATGTTCCCTGGCAACACCTGAGTCTGAGAAAAACGACAATTCTAGAGACCCTTTATTGAATGGTTACTACACACCAGGTGTTGATGAGGTGACCTCATTTGAGCCTTATACAGCTCTTAGAGATGTCCCCATTTAACAGATGAGGACAGTAGGCAGAGAGTGCCTGGTGCAGCATCCCACAGCCAGCAGAGCTGGGCTCAGACCTGATTCTGATTCCAGAGCCCCATTCTCGCTTTCCTCCTCTGCCGCTCCCAGGGGGTTGGTTTGGCTTGGTGGCCCTGTCTTCTGGGAACTGGCATCCAGTCTTCTCTTTAGAGTGGGCTAAGTGGTGGGAATACAGATGTTCCCTCCCTTTACATTTCCCCGTGAAACTGGATCTCTTGGAGAACCAGAACAATGAATAGAAGTGGGAAGAAGGAGGAAGAGGGGACATGTAACAGCCCCTTCTGGGACAGTGAGGAGACCCAGGTGCATGTCTTAGGGCAGGATCATGGAGACTGGGGACTGAACTCCTTCAGACAGCCCGACCCGCTACCCTGCTGACCCTCTTCTGTCTGTGTCTTTGAAGGAGTGAGAGCACGGAGAGCCCTGAGACAGCCCCTCCCGGAGCACCCTCTGGCGAGCAACCGGATGTCATCCCCACCCAGGGTGATCTGCTGGGTGACCTCCTCAACCTGGACCTTGGACCTCCGGTGAGCGGCCCACCCCTGGCTACCTCTTCGGTGCAGATGGGAGCTGTGGACCTTCTTGGTGGTGGCCTTGACAGCCTGGTACGTCCCGGGAACCCCTCTTTAGAGGAGCAATCATTGAATGCCTTTTCTGTGCCAGGCACCAACCAGGTACCTCTGCCTGCGAAGGTGATCATGTAGCTCCCTACTTATAGGTGAGAAAACAGGCTTACAGAGGTCAGGTGCCCTTCCCTCCAAGGGAGCACAGCTAGCTGCTAAATGGCAGACACAGGACTTAGCTCTTTGCCAGGCCTCTGAGCCCCAAGAGATTTGGGCCAGTGTAGGGCCGGGCGTAGCCCCTTCCCCCAAGTCTGACCCTATAGGCACCTTGGCCATAAGGCTGGAGGAACCAGACCTGTGTTTTCTCACCCCCATACCCTACACCAGCTGGGGACAGCAGCCCAGCAGGCCTGAGCGAGGCCCATGAGATGGCAGAGTCAGTCCTCCTCCCCTGTAGAAGGGGTGGTGAGACTGGCCCGGGTCTCTCCCTGGAACATCTTCAGGCAGCTGATAGAGTCAGGTAGAGGGGGCAACAGAGCCTCTGTCACTTGGCCGTGCCTGGCTCAAGTCCCCAAGGCTGTGGCACAGAAAAGGGTAGGAAGGGCCATGGCTCAGGATGTGGGTGGTGGAGTAAAGCCCGGGGGTAGTGCCCTTCATACAGACGATCTGGGCCCCTCCTAGGCCCAGCACAGCCTTGCACCAGATTCATCTCGGATAGGGCAGCAGTAACTAATTCTCTCTCTTTCTCTCTCTGTCTCTCTCTCCCCCTCTCATCTCTCTTTGTGTCCTCCTTCCTGGCTTTTCTCTGTGCATGTGGCTGCCCGTTCTCTTCACCTTGCCTGCTTCTGCTTGGAGATGGGGGATGAGCCTGAAGGGGTATGGTTCAACCCTTGTGTCACCAAGCCTTTGTCCCTGCTCCTCCTGAGAGCACTGGCCCAGCATTCCAAGGGTCAGATGATGTCAAAGCAGTCTGTCCCTGCTGAGCCCTGGCCTTCTGCCCAGTGTCCTGGCAGCCTCTGCTTTGACCGTCTGGTGTCTAGCTGCCATTGGGCCTCCATACCCATGAATTCCTCGCCCCATCCTCACTACCCTGTGACAAAGTTGCCTTGTCACCCTGGGGATCGCCGGCCCTCTCTGTCCCTACGGCCCCTCTCTGACATCCTGGAGGGCACACTCCATCTGCTTCGCACAGTCCCATCATAGCAGTGTGTCTTGGGCACACTTTTTATCTGTGGGCTGAGTGTTAGTTTGTGAGTGTTCCCAGCCCTTTCCCAGAGGTCACCCGTAAGTCTCGAGGCTTACAGGGTATGGGAGGGCTCAGCCTCTCTTCTCTACCCACCTTACTCTGTCTTGTCTCTGCAACTTAGAGTTGATGTGACGGCAGCCCTGTGGGTCCCCTATTTTCTAAAGAGCTAGGTGGCTGTGCTCATCCCGGGCCCCTGTTGTTCCTGCATTGGATGCCTGCCTCTAACCACTTGTCTTTCCTTCTAGATCGGGGGCCCCAACTTTGTGACTCCCCCAGCAGCAGCAGTACCAGCCAACCTAGGAGCACCTATGGGCAGTGGCCTGAGTGACCTCTTTGACTTGACCAGTGGCGTGGGCACCCTGTCAGGATCATATGTGGCCCCCAAAGCAGTAAGGACTACCTCTCCTCTCATGGCAAGAGCAAAGAGAAATTAGAGATTGATGTATGGGCTCCTTAAATTCTGCAGAATTGGCTCAGGCCAGCGAAGATGAGCTCCCGGAGCAGCGGTTTGCCATCACGATGCTGCGGGCAGCCGGGGGCTATGGGAGCACAGGGAAAAGATGCTAAGTCAGGCATGGGCAGGGCGCTGGGGAAGGCGTCCCAAAGGGAAGCTGGATCTCAGGCCTGCAGACCAAGCCAGAATTAGCTAGGCTAAAGTGGGGAGTGGGCTCCAGGCTGAGATAACAGCTTGTGGAAAGGCCTGGAGGTGAGGGAGAGAGAGCCCAGCACCTTCCAGGGAACGGGCAAAAGTCCCATCTAGTTGGAGTCGTGCTGACTCAATGCCCCTTTTGATAGTAGATGTCTTATAATGCCCCCTTTCTCTTCTATCCTTAAATGAGATCTGTGGACTGTGTACCTACCTACACATATAATTTCAAAATTAATGAAAAGATGTTCCCACTGCATAGAAGAGACATAAAAGGAAAGGAATAAAATTATGTATTTCAGTGTTGTGAAGGCTTGGGCATGCCCACCCCAGAAGATGCCCTCACCAGGCATCACAGAGCTGCCAGTAATATAAAGCCTGGAACTGGCCCTCGGGCAGGTGGCCCTCAGGAAGCTGTGTGTTCATTTGAGGTCAGGAGAAGTCAGGGCAGGCTTCCTGGAAGAGGAGTCATTGACAGCATGGGCAGGACTTCCCCCACTACCTTAGTCATAGGACATTCAGGATGTGGCTGCTCTTTCTTAGAATCAGTAGGTATGTTGTCTCCGTTTTCCTAAGGGCATTGTGACTACCTAGAATTATTTCTCCCGTGTGTATTTCCCCACCCCATCTGTGGGGATAAATACATTCTCCAAACTTCCTGGTCAAGGGGGATGAGGTTCTCTGTGTACAAGAACTTGGAGTTCCTCAAGCATTTGGACCAGTGGGTAGTGACAGCTCATTGGCTCCTCCAGTAAATAAGTGTTCAGGGTTAGTTCTGTTAGGACCTGTGCTAGGTTCCATGAACCCACAGTGACTATCCTCAGCAGTCAGGCACGGTGACAGAAAGATAGCCAGTTCTGTAGGAACCTGGGCAAGGAGGCCTGATGGAGAGGCGGGGCACAGGGGAGCCACCTTACAGGAGCCCTCTGAGCGCTGTTCATGCCAAGTCATAGCTGAGAACTAAAGCCATGTGCCTCTGTCCTCACAGATTTGTCCAGGAGAAGCAAAGGATGACCAGGGTTAGCACGTATGGTGGGGGTGGGGGTGGGCATGGGGAAGCACTTTCCAAACAGAAGGAATAGTGTGTGTGGGTACCAAAGAAGCAGGTGCCAGCAGAGCCTGGGGAGAGCAGAGCACTAGGTGATAGAAGCTATGGGCAGTGGAAGCCATTGCAGGGTTGGAGTGGTTTTATAAGGTACCATGATCAAATTTGCATTTTAAAAGATGACTTTAACTGCTGTGGAAATTGGGGAGAGAGGAACTGGGGCAGCCACATGGCAGCCGCCATCTTAACCTGGTGAACTCCGATGGCAGCTCAGGCACAGGTGGTGCCCGTAGCGAGGAAAGAAGCGGAGGATCTGGCAGCAGATTGGAGGAAGTAGCATTGACAGGACCGGCCGCAGGATGGTGGAAGGGGGTCACGGTGGGCTGAGGACTGCTGCCCAGAGAGCTCTGAGGCTCCTGGTATTAGCAGTTTGAGAGATGGTAGGACATTTGCTGACACAGGGCACCATGGGGAAGTTGTCGAAGAGGGCCTGAGCCTTTTGCCGTTCCGTTCCGTGGGCTGAGTAAGTAGCAGCCTGAGAGGCATTTGCATGTCCACAGGATGACGCCAGCAGATGTCCTTCATGGGCAGGGTTTTCATTCAAGCTGTTTGCTCAGCAAACACTCCCTGAATACCACCAGGGAAGGAGCCTGGGGGTGGGTTTCCCTGAAGAGGCAGCTCTTAAGCTGAGACTCAGACGACAAGGGCAGCCAAACAGCAGGGGGCCTGCCAGGCAAGGGGTCCTCTTAGGTACTGCCCTTGGTCAGACCGGTTTCTACAATTGAAGGCCAGCCCTGTTTTGTTCTGGGGAGGACAGTCTGTGACAGCCAGGGAGGCCTTAGGCTCTGGCTGAGGCCCAGGATGGCCTTGGAGTCTCGACTCCTTGGCTCGTGTGTCCTCACTTTCCTCAGCCCTGCATCCTCAGTGCTCCTTCTTTGATCTCTGAAGACTTGGGTCAGCCCTTGGGCACACCAAGCACCTCCATACCAGAGCTGCTACAGTCCTCAGGCACACCATGCTGGTGGCTCTGGGTGGGCCACGCAGGGTCATTCTCATCCCAGGATACACATGGTCATCCCCTGGTGATAAAGGCAGGTGTGGTCAATCTTGGAGGCACCTTCAGGAGAGAAAGAGAGAGAGAGAGAGAGAGCGTGCGCACGCGCTGCTGAGTTTTGGGGCTGTGGCAAACACCAGTGCACCACCACCCCCTTTTCTTCCCTGCAGGTCTGGCTCCCAGCCATGAAGGCCAAGGGGTTGGAGATCTCGGGCACCTTCACTCGCCAGGTGGGCTCCATCTCCATGGACCTGCAGCTGACCAACAAGGCCCTGCAGGTCATGACCGACTTTGCCATCCAGTTCAACCGCAACAGGTGAGCTCCCTGAGGCCAGCCTGCCGAGAGCCCATGCTGGGGACACAGGCAGGGGCTGAGGGTTACCAGGGGCCTGGTGCCTCTTTTCTGGTGAAGGTGGGTATGCCTCACGATCACAAATCAGGCCAAAATTCTCTAAACCAGTGACCTCTTGATATGGACTCCAGAGGACCAGGCCGAGGGGTAGGGCATCTCCCCTTTTTTCGCCTTTTTCCACTGCCCAAAGGGGTGTTTTACTGACAAAATCCCCAGCTTTAGCCTAGGAGCCTGTCTTTGACAACACCCCACATAACAGGAGCTTGGAGCCTCCTTTCCAGGCCTGAATTCCTTCCAGCTCTAAGAGGCTGATGGGGAGTGGGCCTGCCTCCCAGCAAAGGATTAAACTGTCAGACAGGGCCGCTAGGAGTGGTGGCTGCCCCAGGCTCCTCACCCCCATCAGGTCCCCTGCACTGGGGGTCAGTGGAGAAGGTCTCCCGTCTGGCACCATCAGGGTCTTCATGGACCAGGCCAGCTAGGCTAGGCAGGGCTCTCTGGGGAACCCAAGCAGCCTCTCCTGATGATTCTTCTTCCTGAGCAGCTCTAGTGATGAGCAAACTGAGCCTCTAAGAAGTTGACTGAAGGGGCTGCTTCCTCAGGGAGAGCCTGCAGGCCAGTAGGTCCTGACCCTCTGTCAGACCAGGGAGGGTGGCAGCTGCTCTACCACTTACCCTCAGGTGACCCTAGAGGCCACAGAAACAGTCCAGGCTCCAAGAGGCGGTCCCAGCAATCATTCATAACAAACTTACAGTGTGTCGAAAACTGCTTAAGTTCTATGCCCTGTGCCAAAGGCTTTTGGAGTATTTTTTTCACTTGAGCCACCTGACAGCCCAGTGAGGTTAATGCCATTACTCCCCTTTTAGTAAGTAATGACAACTGCTCTCAGAGAGGTCACACAGCAGGCAGTGGTGGAGCTCCCAGGAAAACCTGGAGCCCTGGGCCACTGCAAGGGCCCGGGGTTCCCCATGTTGTCTCCTATTGTGTCCCAGGCAGACCTGATTGCCATCGTGAGCAAAGCCCAGCCGGGGAGCAGCTAAGCTCTGGATCTCAGCAGTGCCCCTCACCCTGAAGGGACTGGGCATGGGCCTCCCCTCCCTGAGTCTTTGTGTCCTGGACAATGGGAGACTATACCTGTCACCCTCTCTATGAGGACAGGAGTTGGTATAATATCAAGTGCTCATCTTGAGCACACAGAGTGCCCAGTTCATTGTCCCATTCAATACTGTGGCCTGTGGCTGGGGTGTCTCTCACACTCATGGGGATCCCCCTGATTTGTTCACATGCTGCTTTATCAAGAGGAAGGGCTTTTCTGAATATCTCTGGCCACCGTGTGACCCGGCCATTTCTGACCCAGAAAGTAAAACTCTGCATGTTACTTGGGAAGGTCAGATCCCTCCTGGGAGATGGGAATTGGCAACAGTGACTTGGGCATTCACAGAGTTTTCAAGTTAGAAACAGCTTATAGGCCCCTGGTATCAGATGGAGCTCCTTGAGGGCAGGATGGGGCAAAGCTGTGCTTATTGGATCGCCCAGTGCCTAGCCCAGCGGAGAAAGAAGAGCAGAGATGGGCTTCAGGCCTGCAGCCAGCCTGAGATCCCCCCACACCCCCACCCCAGTCCTCGTGGCCATTGAGGGTAGAGGGTGCAGGTCAGGAGCTTGTCCTTTTGGACTGGGCTTGGGCCTGAGGTGAGGCCGCTTGCTGGAGACGCTTCTTGCCAACCACGGCCCCAGCTCCAGAGCCTGAGGAGCCCACCATATCAGCACCTGCTCCCCCTGTCATCCCTGTGGGGGCTTCTCTCTCCCCAGCTTTGGCCTGGCCCCCGCCGCCCCCCTCCAGGTCCACGCACCGCTCAGCCCCAACCAGACTGTGGACATCTCTCTGCCTCTCAACACGGTGGGCTCGGTCATGAAGATGGAGCCTCTAAACAACCTCCAGGTGTGTTCCGGGCAGGCCCAAACACCCCAGTCCTTACCCACCCACCCTCGGGGAGGAGTCTGGTGGGAAGAAATGGGCCTGGCCTTTGTTGGCAAAGGGCTGCATCTGTGGAGTTGTGCTCTTGGCCACAGATGTGACAAGGAGGCCCGGTCAGAGGGGACGAAAGGGCATGGTCCCCAGGGAAGGCATGTGAGAGAATCTGCTCAGGTGGGGGCACAGGGAACGGGCCCTTTCCTAAGGCCTCAGAGGTGGGTCAAGCATCACGAACCAACGTGGGGACCGTTCCTAGGTGGCTGTGAAGAACAACATCGATGTCTTCTACTTCAGCACCTTGTACCCGCTGCACATCCTCTTTGTGGAGGACGGGAAGATGGGTGAGTCATGAGGGCACCCCTGGCGTCCCTAGAATGGTGGATTGGCTGCCCTACAACCGAGTCCCTGAGTCACCAGCTCCTCTGCAGAGCCTGGTGTGAGGGGCACACCTCCATCATGGCCCTCAGGGTCTTATCATGCCATCTGGGGCCCCCCAGGGAAGTCGTGCCACGCAAGAGCTGTCTCACTCCTGGGTTCTCCTGCTCTGCCCCTCAGCCTTGCCTACGGGCTCTAGATAGTCATCCCACCGGCTCCCCGAGGCAGGGAGCCCAGGCATGCCTCACCCCTGACGGCCAGCTCCTGTGCCCTCACTTGAACCCCTGAGAAGACTCCTCCCAGGGCCCAGAGGGCTTACTCCCAGCCTGGCGCTGCGTGGAGATCTTTGCGCCCCTCATCACTCAGTCAGCACAGAAGCCCATAATGCAGGCTGACTAATGAGTAGGCTGCTCAGGGCCAGAGTAGGGGGAGGGTATATGTGGGTGCTAGGGAAGAGGGAACTCAGGCCCAGAAGCAGAAAGCCCAGAGTCTGTTGGGAACTGCATCAGTGGCCACCTTCACAGAGCCGCGGGTTTGCTCAGGGAGGCAGGAGGGGCTGTGCAGAGCTAGTGCCTGTCCTCAGCATCAAGGCAGACCTGTTTCATGCCGAGTCTTATTGAGCGGGGCCACACGTTTATCAGAATTCCGGGGCCGGCCGAGTGGCTCAGTTGGTTAAGAGCTCGCTCAAGAGTTTGAGCTCTGAGCAACAGCAGTTCGATGCCCGACCTGAGCTGAGCTGCCGCTAAGCTGCCAATAGGTAGCAGGATGGCTCAGCTAAAAAAAAAAAAGAAAGAAAAAGAAAAAAAGAATGCCGGCTCCTCTTCCTCTTCCCCCCAGACCGGCAGATGTTCCTGGCCACATGGAAGGACATTCCCAATGAGAACGAAGCCCAGTTCCAGATCAGAGATTGCCCCCTCAACGCAGGTAGGACACCTGAACACCATCCCCACCTCCCCGCCTCGCCTGTACCCCAGGCCCTCCCCCATTGCTGACTCAGGGGCCTTCTGACCCCCAGAGGCCGCGAGCAGCAGGCTGCAGAGCAGCAACATCTTCACAGTCGCCAAGAGGAACGTGGAGGGTCAGGACATGCTCTACCAGTCCCTGAAGCTGACCAACGGCATCTGGGTGCTGGCAGAGCTGCGCGTCCAGCCAGGCAACCCCAGCCTCACGGTGAGGGCCCCTGCTCCTGCCCTGCCAGCCCTGGGGCCTCTGCCTCCCTGTCCCGGGGAGCCTGTCCTGTCCCGCCTTCCTCCCAGGCCAGACACTCTAGCCCAGCTAGGCGGGGGTCTCTTTAAGCCTGGTGTAAATAAGCATCAAAATTCTGTCCCTGGAAAGGACCTTAGAAAGCTTTCAACTCAATCCCATCAAGTCACCCAGGTAAGGCACCAATCTGGGTCTCAGAATTAAGAGTTGAACTAGAAGACTCTAAAATTGGGCCCTGTGAGGCGGCACAGTTGGCCCGAGGCCTGCCTAACTGCAGAGGGGCACTGCTGGGCCCAGTCCCTGACCCTCCTGCTTCTGCCTGCCTGAAGGCCCACCTGGGAGGACAGTGCTTCCAAGCAGCTTGTCCTTCCCACCCTTGGAGTCAGACCCCGGTCAGGACATGGCTTCCATGTAGTGCATGGTTGTCCTGGAGGCCAAGCTACTGTCCCAGGCCCAGAGAGCACCAGGCGGCTTTGCTTCTGCCCTGCACCCAGGTCTCTGGCAGGCATGCCCACCCCAATCCCCCCGAGATGTTACTCCCTGGGCCCCACTGGCAGTGATGGCTCTGTGGTTGGGCTGGGGCTGCTGCAGTGGCTTCGGTGGTGGTAATTTCCGTCTCCCTGTGTTTGGTTGCTGCATGTCCACCTTCCCTGCTGGTGCCCGTGGTGCAGGACTTGGAGGTTAGCGGATTGCTTTTCTCTTCCTTTTTCCCCTTATCCTCCCCAGCCACACCTCAAACACCCCGTCTCCTGGCTTGGCTCCAGTGCACCTCCGGTTCTCCTGGCCTTTCCTCACCCTGTTGCTCCTGAAGCCAGGCAGACAATGTGTGTAGGCTGCAGGCAAGAGGGCATGCTGCCCTCTGCTGACACCCCAGCGCTTCCCAACCAGGTGGCCCCAGTCAAGCTGACCCCCCCCCACTTCCCAACACACACATTATGCACAGAGCTCTTCAGGAAACCGGAGCCCCTTGGGGCCACTGCTGCTGATTTCTGGAGCTTTACCTCCCCTCCCCCTTCCTAATTGCACCCTTGAGAAGCAGTGATTTTGGCAGAAAGGGTGGTGTCACTTGTCCCTCCTCTGCCTGTGCTCTCCTGGCTCACACTGCAGTTAGAGCTGAAGCGAAGTGTCTGACGTACCTGGTTCCTGTGTAGGAAATCAGGAAGAACCCCCAGTGCCCCATCCTTTCCCAGAGCAGAGAGCTGCCCCCTCCTAGCCTCCTCAGAGACCTCAGCCCCCGTGGGCTGTGGGAGCCCAGGCAGCTCTGCAGGGTGGGGCCAGGCGCTTGCTGACAGCCTCCAGTTGCTGCTTCACGCTGCTCCGTAGGGCTGTGGTGGCTGGGCTGACAGCAGGTGTGTGGGCTGCAAGCATATTTGGTCCCCACCCAGCTGGCTGTGGCGGCCGCCGTCCTTCACCACACATCTGCCCCAGCCACACTGCTGCCAGCAGGCCACGTGTGCACAGCACACGCTTCCATCTGGCTCCCACCCTCTCTGCCCTCCCCGCGTGTTCCTTCCCAGCCTAGTAAATGACAGCCCCAGAGAGGAGCCGTGGGAATGAGCAAGACCCCTCTCTTCCCCTGCAGCTGTCCCTGAAGTGCCGAGCGCCAGAGGTGTCCCAGCACGTGTACCAGGCCTACGAGACCATCCTCAAGAACTGAGGCCCCATCCAATGCCCACCCCAGCCTTCTGCCAGCCTGTTGAGGAGCCCTCTGGGGTTAGCAGCACCTCCTACTCCTGGGAGGGGCCGGAGAAGGCTCCTGGCCACCCCTGGGGCTCCCTGTTCCTGACTGCAGGGCCCACCTGGGTCCTCAGGGCAGGGCTGCACCCCTCCTGGAGTGAAGTCTCAGTGTACTCCTGTGCACAGGGACTTCCCTCTTCCACTGCTGCTGACACTTAGGGTCAGGTGAGGATGGGACCAAAAGAGACAGAGCCAGAGCAGCTGCAGAAGCTGGACAGGAAGACCCAACGTTCTCTTCCTTTTCCCGGCACTTGAGGGCGCGTGTGAGGTTCCCTCAGGCTCCCAGCCCAGGAAGCACCATGCCCCTCACTCTCTCTTGGGTTGGTGTTGGTGGCCCTTCCCACCACCCGCTGTCATGACATGGGCCCTGCCAGGCTGTCCTGATGTGCGTGGAGGGTCTCCTTGGTATCAGGAGAGCAGTTCTTTCAGGGTCTGGGACTCCCAGGGCCTGCACCCCCACATCCTCCCTCCCTGCTTCTGCCTAGGCTAGGGCCCAGTGGTTGTGCCAGTCGGCCCACAGCCTCCCGAGAGCTGACCCGCGTGGGGAAGACCAGGCCGAAGCTCCCCGAGGCCCTGCCCAGGCTCCTGCTCTCCTGGCGGTTGCACACACACCTTCTGCCGAGCTCCCGCCTCTTGCCCCTGCCTATGGCGGTCACTGCCTATGACACCTTCCTCGGCGTCCCCTGGGCTCCTGGAGCAGAGACAGGGCTAAGGGATGAGGAGCTCGGGCAAGCGGGCTGCCTCCTGTGCAGGGTTTCTTTGGGGTTTCTCCTTAGTGTCTGCTACCCTACTCCTGGCCCCCCAAGTGTCAGTTGTGTCTGACAGAGCATTAGGTTTTCCTTTTACTGCTGTTTAATAATAAAGATTCTGCTTTTGGCAATCACGGACACTTTTTTCCCCTCTCCACCAAATGTCAGAATTGGAATCTGCCTCCGCTAGCGGTTGAGGGATAGTTTTCTGAGCCCTGCAGTAACTCTGTCTAATATATATAGACTATATATTGTATGTTTACTCTTATTTTCAAAAAGAGAAAGTGAATAAAAATGATGACATCAAGCATTTCCATGGCCAGTGTGTCAGGTGCTGCCTGAGGCTCTTCTGGATGGGTCTGAAGTCCAGGGTCAAGGGCTTGCGCTGTGTACCTGGCCCCTCCCCTGGCACTCTGCGTATGGCGCCTCTCCCTCCACCCTGTCCTTAAGGACTCACTTGTGAAGCCGCCTAGTCTCCCTGGAACCCCTCCCACCTTTGATCCCAACTGCCCAAGCAGACGCCATCACCTTTTGATGTGGGCCAAAGATGTCGAGGTCTGACATCCGTTTGTTCTCAGCTCTCTGCCATCGGGGAGTTTCCAGGGAGTGGCTGTGGAAGAGAGGGGGTGGGCAGGCAGGCCAAGCACCAGGCCTGTCTGGGCAGGCTGTTCCCCACCCTGTAACTTTGGCAGGCTGAGGGTGGACACTAAGCTGACAGCCGCCCCATCTGCTACCAAGGACCGACTCCCCATTTGGCCCCAGTGCTGGCATTGACTTGGCTCCCAGGGGAGAGCCAGACCCTGGGCAGGGCTCCCGACAGCAGAGCTGCCAGTTCTCAATCCTTGGTGTCCCATGGGCCTTCACCCTGCTTCAAAGGGAAGAGTAGCCCTGGTGCCCTCACCTGTTTCAGCCCCAGCCACTCTGCCCCGTGCCTACCTCTGACAAATGGCTGTCTTTTCAACTGCCTGGGACTGGCATTGGCAGGAGCACCTGGTCCTCCTCTGACTCCTAGGTATTGTCATGCTGTCTTAGGAACCACAGTCTACAACCAACCAAGGCTCTTGATTGTACCACCCTGGTTCCCACCTCACCTGAAAGTCCTCAGGCTCAGAAGGCCCTGCACAAATGCAGCTGGAGTCCCCTCTGGCTATGGACTAGAGGAGAAGGGTTTTGAGCCCTTGAGGAGACTGTCACCCTGGCCTGCTGTGTCACCTGCTGCCCCTGACCCACCCGAACGCCCTGTGAGTGCACTGCTGGCTCAGCCATCCAGGGACTTCCCAGAGCTTGCTGTCCCCACCCTTCCACCTCTGAGGGCAGAAGAATTGAAGTGGAGGATAGCTGTCCCCAGTGGGGTGATGATGGGCAACTTGAGGCCCAGGGTCAAGCACCTGGGGTGAGGAGGAGGAAAGCTGATGAGAAAGGCTGGCCCTGTTGGACAGAGGGCCTTGGACTGTCAGACATCTTGAGTCCACTCTCCTAATTCAAGTTGTGCTTGGGTCTCAGGAGATTATGGGCAGGACCTTACCAGAGAGCCCCTCTCCCACCCATACAGCACCCATCATGTTGGGACCCAGCAGCCTTAATATAATCGGGGAAACTGAGGCAGAAAGCATTCTCACTCCCAGTGCCCCAAGCCTGGGCTTTACCATATCACTGCATCAGGAAAACATGCACTACCACTGGGGGCCCAGGTCTGTAGAAGTGCTTTGGGGGAAGGGGGCGACCGGATGGCTCAGTTGGTTAGAGCACGTGCTGTTAACAACAAGGTTGCCGGTTTGATTCCTGCATGGGATGGTGTGCTGTGCCCCCCGCAACTAGATTGAAAATGGCGACTGGACTTGGAGCTGAGTTGTGCCCTCCACGACTAGATTGGACAACTACTTGACTTGGAGCTGATGGATCCTGGAAAAACACAGTTCCCCAATAAAGTTTAAAAAAAACAAAAAAGTGCTTTAGGAGATCTCCAGTCTGCTGCCCTTCAGCGTCGTGTCCTTCCCTGGCCTCAGAACGCATCACGTGCTTCCTCCCCCTCTCACGTACCTCCCTGGTCCTGATGTGTTCAGGCCTCCCCGGTCTCAGGGCCTGACACCTCTCAGGGACCTTGGCATCCTGCCAGCACTCTGGGCCTTGCCAGCCGGTTGGGGAATTCAACAACAGCAGCCAGTTATTTCTGGAAGGTCCAACAAAAATCCAAGGGCCTCATGGGTGCCCCTGTGTGCCAGCCACTGTGCTAAGGCCTGTGTCGTGAATGTATTTTACGTTTTTTAATCTTTAACTCATGGGTTGCTGTTTTGGGGGGGTTTTTATGAGGAGAGATTCCAGACCATGATCAGATCAGCCACACAAAGGATTGAGGTCTCCCTCCCACCCTTCCCCAGTTCTAGGTTTTCCTCCCTAAAGGCAAACTTCGTTGCCAAATTTTGGATTTTCTTCCAGGAATATTCTGTGCATGTATGCAAGCAAGTCTGAGAAGGTATTTACTTAACCAATGGTAGCACCCACTACACCACCAGCACTTTCCTTCTCTTACCTATCTGTACAAATAGACCCGCCTCAGTATTCCTTGTGAGGATGGGCTGCCATTAGCCAGTGCTGGCTGATGGACATTCCATCTGCTGCCAGTCCAAGCAACCGTGCAGTGAATATCTTCCTACATAAGTCCTTGCTCATGGGCACAAATGTAACTGTAGGATCTAGCCCCCAGATTTGCTGAACCAGAGGACGTAAACATTTTACATTTTATATGTTCTTGTTTTGAAAAGGTAATACATTCACATGGTTCAAAACCCAAAAGGCTAAAACGGATATAAGTGAAAAATTCTCATTCCTCTCCCCAAAGAAACCAGTGTTACCCTCCAAAGAGACTCAATGTCTAATACGGGGTTTTTTCCCCCTTTTAATACACAAATGGTAGCATGAAATACAACCCATTCTGCACTTTATATCTTGGAGACTTTATCATTATCAGTCCATCATGGAGAGAGTCCTTATGCCTTTTTTTGGTGGGGGTGGGGTGGGGAGGTGAACAGTGTGTTTTTCCAGGGCCCATCAGCTCCAAGTCAAGGAGTTGTTTCAATCTAGTTGTGGAGGGCGCAGCTCAGTGGCCCATGTGGGGATCCAACTGGCAACCTTGGTGTTATAAGCACTGTGCTCTAACCCACTGAGCTAACCAACCGCCCCGCTAATGCCTTTTTATAACAGCTGTATGGTGTTCCAATGAATGGAAGTACCAACCATGAAGCAGTGCCCCCGCGATGCCCATTGACTTATATCTAAGATGTTGCTAGTACAAGTGATACTGCAAAGAATATTCACTTTCATACATGGATAACTTCCTGAGGTGGAAATTGCAGGGTCAAAGGTAGGTTCAGTCATAATTTTGATAGCTGTTGCTAAAAACTCTTCAATTCACACCCCCACCAGCCAGGAATGAGACACCTATTCCCCTGCCCCCTCACAAACTCAGCGTATTGACGTGTGCCAAACTGATGGGTGAAAAATGATATCTTACTACTTTGTTGTAACTCTGTTCATGTGTTTTCGAGCCATTTGTATGTACTTTTCTGAGCTGTCTTCATATTTTTTTGCCTGTTTTTCTATGTGGTTATTGGTCCTTTTCATCCTGATTTGTCATTATTTCTCCCCATTTTATTACTGCTTTTTACTTTTCCTTGCTGAAATTGTTTGTGTAGTCTTCTTTTAATCTCTTCTTCTTTCTAGTACTTGTCTGATCTTAGTTTTTTTCATTTTGATCCTATTCCATCTGGGCTTTATGTTAGGGACGAGGTAGGGATCCAACGTCCTCTTTTCCCAGATGGTTACCCAGTTGTCTCCACACAATTTACTGAATAATTCATCTTTTCCCACAGATTTGAAATGTCATTTTTTCATATACTAAATTTCCACATATATAGGAATGCTTTTGTAGATTCTGCTCTGTACCAGAGAATTTTCTATTGGTCACTGCATTTTTTAAAAAGTATTGTATCTTCATATTTTCACAATTTATTGTATCTCCTTATTTGCCCTCTTTGTTCCATTTGAACTTTAGAATTAGTTTAAAAAGAATTGATGGTATTTTTATTTGGATCTCACCAAATGTTTATATTAACTGATGGAGAATTCACATCCTTATAATGTCAATAATATTTACATCCAAATACAGGAGTACATGCCTTTCCATTGGTTCATGCTTTCTTTGATGTTTCTTTGTAATATTTTAAGTTTTCTTCATTAAAAGTTCTTGCATGCCTATGTTTTAAAATTTTTTTATTAAGGTTTAGTTGGCAGACAATATTATATGTTTCAGGTGTACAACATAGTGATTCAACATTTATTTACCTTGTGATGTCTTTAGTAACAAGTTTTAGTAACCATGTCACTGTGCACAGTTATCACAATATTATTGACTATATTGATTTATTTTTGCTTAGATTCATGAGAGCGTTTCCTATTTTTTGCTTCTTATAAATGGGCTTTTTCATTCTTTTCCTTATATATTTATGATCTAAATATATATTTATAAATATATTATATATAGGAATAATATATATTGATAATACAAAATAACAAATTATATACTTTTTCAACAAAACTACAGACTGTATTCAGATTTCCCTAGTTTTCCCACCCATGTCCTGTTCTCTTCCCAGATCTCACATTGCATGTGGTTGTCATGTCTCCTGAGTCACCTCTGGTCTATGACACTCTCCGACTTTCATTGCTTTTCATGACCTTAACCATTTCGAGGAACACTAGTCAGGTAATTTGTTGACTCTCCCTCATTTTGGGTTTGTCTGATGTTTTTCTCCTGGTGAGACTGAGATTATGGGTTTTTAGGAAGAAGGCCAGAGAGGTGCCCTTCTCGTCATGTCATCTCGGGCACACACGCCATCGGCATGACTTACCACTGTCACATTAGCCTGGATCACTTTGGCCAAGTAGTGTTTGCAGCTTTCTCTACTGCGAAGCTACTTTCTCCCCCTTTCTGTACTCTGTTCTTTGGAAGCAAGTCACTAAGTGCAGCCTACACTCGGGAAAGAGCGCGGGGGCAGGGAGGGGCGGCATAAATTATTTGGAATTCTTCTGTAAGGAAGATTTGTTTCTTCTCCCACACTTATTTATTAGATCATTTATATTAGTTTGGCGTGATGGATATTTTATCATTCGGGTTTAATCCAAAACCACATTATTTTGGTGCTTCCATTGTTCCAGCTTTGGCCATTGGGAGCTCTTTCAGATAGGCTCTGTGTCCCTCTGACATGCCACCATCCTTTTGCTTCTTTTGCAGCTTCCTTACTTTATGGCATTATGAGGTGCTCCAGGCTCATCTTGTTTTTGTCCTGTCCCAACCCTAGAATCAACCATTTCTCCAAGAAGCCTGGTTCCTTTTACTGGAGAGCGGCATTAGATCTGGGTGCTGGATGCGCTTGTTGTTCCTGGGTGGCACTTGGAGGCCCTCTCAGCTGACAGAGCTAGGCATTGTCTTTGTGCACACTTACCCAAGTATACACACATACTCCTCATTATGTTTGTAATTAGTAATTACTTGCATATAAAAATAAAATTGTTTTATGTGTACAAATGTTGTCCCCTCCAGCCTTACTAAATTATCGTTTTTCTCTTTGTGTCATCTCATTTCATCCCTCAACAACTCTATGAAGTCTAGACCATTATTATCCCCTTTACAGCGAAGGAAACTGAGACTCAGAGAGTTTAAGTAACTTGCACAGATAACACACCCTGGGAGGAAGTTTCAAACTCCTGAGGTCTCACTTCAGAGGCCTGGAAGTGCTGCCTGTGCTGCCTCCTTGTGTCCTGAGGGCTGTAAGTCCCCCACTGGCCTTCAGGAGGCTGAACGCCTACACTCAATGGGCAGTGGCATGATGATAGTGACCACAGACCCACTACGTGGCAGGCATCTGCATGGTAAAGGTCCCACACAAAATGCGGGGCCCAGGGAGGTGAGTTATTGCTGGGACAAGTCGTGTGGAGCTGTGAGTAATGGTCAGGACAGACCACTACTAATGGCCCGTGGAGCAGCCCAGATGCCACAGGCGTCCAGAGCAGATGTCCCTGGACGCTGGCTGCACTCCAGGGTGCTTGACCCCAGGGAAGGGAAGCAGCTGTGTGGCAAAAGTCAGGTGGTAGAGGGATGGGGGACACCCAGCTGACTGGCTTTGGGAGGCTGTGGGCAATGAATGAGGGACACAGAATTCCCTACCCAGTGCCTGCCCCTGGCCAGGCCCTCTCAACTGTCTCCCAGCCCACCCTACTTTCTGTGACTAGTCTTCCAGAGCTCAGGCCCTTCCTGAGCCCCCACCCTCGGTCGAGCTGGTGCGTCCCCTGGGTCCGCTCAGCCCCCTCGACCTGATGGACCTAACGCTCCTGTTTCCATCTGTCTGTGCTGGTTGTATGTTTGTCTCCCTCACAAGCCACAGAGAGCAGGTCATGTGCCCAGCGCCAGGTCCCGCGTGCTGAAGGAGCATGTGTGGATGCTTGATGGGTGTTCCCTGGAGCACTGCATGGGAGGATGTGAGGGGCATAGTAATGGAGCAGCAGACAACAGCTTGGCTGCCTCTCCTTGGGGAAGGAGTGAGGGGATTGATGAGAGAAACTTCGAAATTTACAAGCAGCCCAAGGTCTCTGGCTTCAGTCTTTGGGAAGTCTGACACTGGCTGCCCACACCTGCCACAGCTCAACTCAGTCCCCACAATGACAGGGGCTTCCTCAAAGGCCCTCCCCACAGAGCCTCAGGCTCCAGCTGACCTCCTCCTGATGTCCCTCTGGCCCCTCTGCCCAGATGAAATTGGGCTTCTCAGTAAATCAGGCTCGGTGGTCCAAGGTCCCGGGTTCCAGTGCCTGTGCTGCCAGTTTCCTGCTGGAAAATTTTTGGCAAATCATTGCACCTCTCTGAGCCTTAATGATATGCAGCTATGGGTTAGAGCTCTGCACATCACAGGCCCCTGATGAATGGGAACTGCTGCTAGTGATGCTGATGTAACAGTTTCCTAAGGAATTTGTCACCCCTGCAGAGTCTATAGGACTTCATGGCAACTACAGGACATTCCACTGTCCAGAGCGTCCTCCATCATTCCAAAACCTCGCACTGAGAAACCATACTGGATCCCAGATAGGCCCTCCACCAGTCCTGTTGTCTGTTCCTAAAGAAACCCTGCCCCAAAAGGCACTCCGTTGGAAAGTGAAGCAAGAAAGTTTTTCCAGAAGCGGATAACCAGAGCTGGCTCTCAAGAGTGGGCAGGAACAAGAAGAGAGGGCACTTCAGGCAGGGGAGTAGGCCCCACAGAGGGCCTTACGGAAAAAGAGCCTGCTGAGTGCCAAAAGGGAAGAGGGGCTTAGTATTATTTACTGCCTGCCTTGTTCCCCAAAGGAAATGAGGCAGCTTCCAAAAGCCAGCAGCCTGAAAAGTTACAAAGTGAGTAGGGAAATCAGGTGAAGGGAAAAATTATGGCAGGAAATGAAGGTGAAGCCAGGAGTCCCCACTGGCTGGGCTTGAAGACCTGGAAAAACTGCCAGAGGTAGCCACAAGTTTGGCTCTGAGCTCCCTAGTGGCTGAAGAGAAGAGTGAAAACAGACCCAGGTCCCTAATCCAATATGGGAGGATGAAACCACACCCAATGCTCTGGAGAAACACCCTCCGGTTGCCATCACCTGCTCCCTGGAGGATGCCTGCCCTCCGCACTTCAGGGTTTAGCTCCTCTTCACTCATCCACTTCCCCCAGGATGGGGTGTGGATGTTTGTGCTCTTACAGTTCCTGGACCCCATGTGTTCTAGAACCTTCTCTCCTAAGGTAGGACTTTTTTTTTTTTTTCCTTTCAAAATCCATCTCAGAAATTTGGCAAGCAGTGAGCGAAACCTTTGGTCAATGCAGAAACAGAGATGTGTGCATTTCACCAAGTACCTGGGCATCTGGTCAAAGATGTGGAAGCCCCCTCTGTAAGTAGAAGGCAAGGAGAGACAGAGGGGAGGGGAGCTGAGCAAACCCAGGTTTTCCAAACCTGATCGGGAAGGAACTCACCAGCTCCAGGAACAATGAATGGGGCTTTGAGAGAGTTACAGGTGGAGGCTCAGGCAGAAAACCTGGCCTTAGCAGTGACAGGGGTGGCGTCCACCAATTTCTGGATCTTTCAACCTTGTTGGCACAGGGATTTGGGACTGAGCTGCAGCGAACCGGTATGTACTGGGCTCAGCACTCCCTGTCCTGCCCTCAGGCGTCGATGACTGTCATTTGACGTATTGTCAACTGGCCACTTCCCCCTGTGGGCAGAGGAAGGTGGGAGGGCTCCTCTGAGGAGACCATAAGGCTGTGGGGTCAGGGGCTATCCACTGCCCCCCCCCCAATTTTGGAGAATCCCCTCTCTGGCCTCAGTTTTCTCCTTTCAAATGGAGATACCAGGTTAAGGCTATAGATTCAAGGACCACATATGTGCTTGTTTAGTAAAAGACCCCGCATGTAGTAGGCTCTCAAGAAATGGTGTCTGGTTTTGATGGATGCGGAGCAGAGAGCCAACGCAGTGCGGCGACTCACCCAAGGTCACACAGCTGGGGCCGTATCGGATCCCGGGCGTCCTGAGTCCAGCGGGCCGGGGTTTGTCTGGAGTCAGCCTGGGGGAGCCGTGTTTGGAGAAGCGGACGTGGGCGGGAAGGGCTTCTATTTTGGAGCAGGTTGAGAGAATCGCGATCCGCGGAAGGAGCTAGGTCCCTCCACGGGCTCCCTGCGCCCAGCCATCTTCCTGCGACCCTTCCCGGGAGGGGCGTCCCGGGCGAGTAGGGGGAGGTGGGAGGGGCGGCGGGCGGTTACCTCATCGCCGCCTCCGGGAGGCTCTGCTCGCTCGCTCTCTCGCTCGCTCGCGCCGCCGGCTGGGGCGGTGACTCCGGGCGCCGGGGCGAGAGAAGGGCGGAGGGACTGAGGCGCCGAGGGGCAGTGCCGTCCCCCGAGCCCCGCTCTGCTGCAGGACCCTCGCGCGAGGAGGTCGGACCTTGGTGATCCGCGCTTCTGGCGGCGCCTCCAGTAGCGTTGCGGAGCGGAGGCGGTGTCTGTGCGCGGCGCGCCGGGTCTGTTCTCTCTGTGCTTCTGCACCCGCCGGAGCTACTCGTTCGTCCGCCGTCGGCCTTCTCGGCTGTCTGTCTGCCCTCCCACTGCCAGCTCCGACCTCCGCCTGGCCTCTCCGGGCCTCGGTGTTACGGGTAGCGATGAGGAGCGCGGCGGGGTCGGGGCGCACCGGGCAGGGCGCGCGGGGCGCACGGCCCGGCGCCGGCGCATGAGGTTTTCCAGCACCGGGCGCGGCAGCGCGCGCGGGCCATGGGGGGCAGCCTGCGGGTGGCCGTACTGGGTGCCCCGGGCGTGGGCAAGACGGCCATCATCCGGCAGTTTCTGTTCGGTGACTACCCCGAGCGCCACCAGCCCACTAACGGACCGCGCCTCTACCGTCCCGCAGTGCTGCTCGACGGCGCCGTCTACGACCTGAGCATCCGCGACGGCGACGCCACTGGCCCGGGTCACAGCCCTGAGGGTCTAGAGGTAGCGGTTCCAGGGGCGAAGGATCGTGTGACAACGTGGGGGCGGGGGAAGGGTGGATACTTGGTGCACACGTGCTTGTCCGCGTGGACAGCCCCAGGGTGCCCAACTGTGTTCATGGATTGAAGGATGAATGTGTGTCCTGGTGTTTGTGTGTCTCATCCCGTCTCGCCGGCCTGGAGGCCCACAGGACCAGGCCTGAGGTCCGGCGATTTTGCGAACTGGCTTTTTCTCACTGGCGTAAATGCCTCTGTATTTGCCGGCCTCTGCTGGTGGGTCTGGATCAGTGGGTGGCAGAACGTGGTCGTGTCTCCCTAAGGGTGAACGTTGTGTGTTTGGGGCCTTGAGCAGAGCTTTAGTGAAAGAAGTTGGGGCCAGATACAGAGGTGTACTTTGGAGGAGGGGGGGCGGGTAGAGGGCATTCTCTGCTCCTTCATTCCTGTGACCTGGAGCAAAGCCTCGTTTAGTAATTTGTGCAAAGTCCAGGACAGACTTTGAATCCTTGGAGCTGGATGCCTCAGAGAGGTGAAGAGGCAAGAGCAGGCAGGATTAAGCAGAGTTCCCAAGAGTGGGTGGCATTTGGGCTGAACCTGTAAGAATGAGTCAAGTTTTGATGAAAAGAAGTGGGAAAGGCATTCCAGGTGGAAATAAGAACACGTGCTTAGGCCGGGAGGCCTGAACGTTTACAGGTTCCAGACAATTGGTGGTTTCTGGGGGCGCAGGGACACGGGCCGAGTGCTTTTTGGAATTAGTCTTAGGAGCAGTAGTAACCAACCGGCCAGGGGGTAGAGGGAGGGGACTGACCCGAGTTGAGCTGTGGAAAGCTGGAAGAAGGAGGAATAAACTAGAGGGTTGGAAGAGAGGTAACCTAGAGTGAAAGAGGGCTGGTGGTGACCGACTGGCTTCAGGCAGTTTGGAAATGTTTGCCCTGGTGGCCATGAGGACAGTCAGGCCCAGGAAATTGGGGGCCAGGGCTCATAGATGAGGATGGGGTTGACAGAGGCCTGAGGATGAACTGTGGGTTTAGGCCCCTGCAGAAGGTCGGGACTCGGGAGAGTGGACAGGTGGCTCCGACAAACCCCGACCTCCCGCCCCCAGGAGTGGCTGGACCCTAAGGACTGGAGCTTGCAGGACACAGATGCCTTCGTGCTCGTCTATGACATCTGCAGCCCAGACAGCTTCGACTATGTGAAGGCGCTGCGGCAGCGCATAGCGGAAACCAGGTGGGCACGCAGCTGGAGGTGGGGGCGGGGAGAGTTTGCCAATCTGGCTGGGCCTTTGCCTAAGGGGAGTGGGTGGGCTCTTCCTCCGTCTTGGGCCTGATCTCAGGCCTGCCAGGCCAGGCCTTTTGCCATGGGAAAGTCTTTGGGCCACACGTATCCGGTGTTTGCTGCGGGCCTCTGGCTGCAAAAGGGGATGCTCCTGAGTGTATATACCCACAGGGGGGGAATTCTCTGGCCCCGGGGTCCCTGGCACCGCGGACCTCATTCCCATCTGGCCCCCAGGCCAGCGGGTGCACCAGAGGCGCCCATCCTCGTGGTAGGCAACAAGCGGGACCGGCAGCGGCTGCGATTTGGGCCTCGGCGCGCACTGGCCGCCCTCGTGCGCAGGGGCTGGCACTGTGGCTACCTCGAGTGCTCCGCTAAGTACAATTGGCACGTGCTGCGTCTCTTCCGGGAGCTGCTGCGCTGCGCTCTGATGCGTGCCCGTCCTGCGCACCCGGCCCTGCGCCTGCAAGGGGCATTGCATCCTGCACGTTGCAGCCTCATGTGACCTAATTTGATCACGAAGCCCATGGGGGCGCTGGACAGTCTGACTGCAACCACCAGGGACCTGGATTGGACGAGCTTGCCCAACTTCTCTTGGATTGGACAGGAGCCTCCTGATTGGACAAGGAAAACTCCTACCCAGTCTCCTGGGCGACAGGCCTCTTTGAATCTCATTGGATCCAGCCAGGCCCCCAAAGCCTTTTTGTACAAGATCAGTCTTTTCTGGGACCTTGGTGGGTCACGACCCCATTCGATGAAATGGACTTGACTATAAATCTGATTGGAAGCTCTGACTGTTCCTGGAGCCTCATTGGACAAATTCTTAAGTCACATCTCTCAGGAGGTAATAAAGGGGGAAACGGTTCAAGTGCAGCTAGCATTTCTGGGATGGGCAGGGTAATCTTAATCGTGGAGATCAGAACTGCCGGGCTTTGCGCCTGGCAATTAACTCCAGAATCCTAACATTTAATGAGGGCCCTCAAAGGGGTATGATGGCCCCAAGGTTGAATCCCCAAGAAGCAGACACAAGTGGCTGGAACAAAACTTTACTGTCAGGCTCTGCAGGGCCACAGGACCTCAGGAAGGGTCCTCATTGGGCTGGTCCAGCCTCCTCTAAGGCATTCAATAATATTAGTAATTAAATAGCAACACTCATCCCCCAATCGGAATGTACAACAGAGGTCCCATTGTGCCATGTGGTCCCAAGGGGTCTGGTCCCATGAGGTCTGGTACCCGAGAGGCATGGGGTTGGGGGGGTATTCCCTGATGCAGAGGGGTTAAGGCCACAAAGGAAAAAGAGAAGGAATGGGGGCCTGTGGGGCAGCTAGGCTGATCCATCACATCCAGGAATCCGGCGCAGCCCTTGGGCTGACGGAGTGCAGGGCATGCCAGGCCCCGGGCTCCGTGGGTCCAGATGGGCGGCGGGGGCCCCTAGGTGTGGGGATTCGTGAGGGTTTTCGGTCTGGCTGTGTGTCCATCCGGCCCCGTGCCCAGGTCCTTGAGGGCTCGGGGCCAGCCAGGGGGCTCCCAGATGCATCTGGCAGCACCCCAACACCAGGGTAGGGGCTGCCTTCATCGGAAGAGCTGGACAGGGCTGGACCTCGGTGCCCAGGCAGCCCATTGGTCATTCTGCCAGAGTCCCCCGGTAGGCCACACTTGCCACCCAAGACGCTGAGGGACGAAGAGGAGGAGCTGGAGGAACAGTAGGCTGAGTCAGGAGCTGGAGGGTCTGGGGCCCGAGCTGGGTAAGGGGCTGGTTCTGTGGGAGTTCCACCAGTAGCAGCCTCAAGGGCTCGGGCATTGGCCAGGAACTCCTCTTCCAGGCGCCTGAACAGCTGCTGTTCGTGATGCGGGTCAAGCTGCAGTGGGGTGCGGAAGACACTGGCTGGTGTGGTGCCCAACTCTGGACTGGGGCTGGAGACCCGGGGAGGCCGGGGGGCTGCAGGGCTGCGGGCACGGGGAGTCTGGGGGCTGCTCCTGCCAGAGCCCCCACTGCCCCTGCCCCGTGGCACCCACGAGTGCTGCCCATCTCGGTCCCTCCGTACAAGCAGCACAGCCTGCTCCTCGCGGCTCTGGCTCCGGGCCCGTCGGGCTGGGCTGGGGGCCGACAGCTGGGCTCCCCTGCCTCCTGGGGCCCCCCGGGGCCGCCCTTGATCTAGCCGGTCTCGGGACTGGCTTCGAGGGGCAGGGGGCCGTCTCAGAGAGGCTGGAGTGCCTGTTGTCAGCCTCCGGCTGGGCCGCTCCCTCTGGGGACCAGTGCCTGAATCGTCACTGCGGGCACCAAGGGGGCCACTCTGGGCTGAGGAGGCTGAGGAGTCGCTGTCCCCGGAATAGCGTCGGGAGCGGGGATGAGGGGGGAGCTGATCTCGGGCTCTGAGGCAGGGGAACAAGAGAGAGAGAGACGGGGCATCATGGAAAGAGGACTGGTGTGCAAAACGGGCAGGGAGAGGAATGAAGAAGCAGGTTTGTGGTTGGGAAGGGGCGGGGAGGACACCTGTGGTGCTTTGGGGGGGTGTTGGTGGGGGCTGTCAAAGCCTTCTGTCTGTCGTGGGGACTTCCAGGGAGAAGTGAGAGACTCTGCAGTAGCTTCCCCCACCCCCCACAAGGCAGAGGAAGAAGCGAGGCCTCCGGGGCCCTAACCTAAGCTCCCCCTCCCTAGCCTGCCTGTTTCCTGGGCAGGCCAGAGGGAAGCCGGGTTGGACTGGCCACCACTCAGGCCCAGGGCCCGCCCAGCTGTGTTGTTCATTTGGTTGGGTTGCCATGGAGAGGGGAAGCCAGGCCAGCCCCCACCCACGGGAACTTTTCCCAGGGCGTGAGTCACACTGGAATACAGCTCCTTCCTCACAGAGTTCAGGGAGGACACCCCCACCCTCTAGACCCTTCACCCTCATGTCCTCCTACCTCTTACCTGAGTGGGGTCTCAGGCCCCTCCTTTGAGCTGCGTAAGGTAATGGGTGTTACTTCAGGCCTGGAGCCCTGGCGCTCTACCCCTGGGGCTGGGCTACCAGCTCGGGGGCTGGGGGTAGGTGACACCCTCTGGGGGGAGAAGGTGCGGGTCCTTGGCTGGGGTGGGCGGTGGGCTGCAGGGAGGGAAGACAGGTGGTGTGTGAGGGGTGGAGCCACAGAGATGAGCCTGTTGCCTGCCTGCCCCCGCCATGGGCACTGACCTGTGGAGGAGCAGCGGCAAGGGTCATGCTTGTCCAGGTAGTGCTCCAACGTGTCCCAGCCGCCACCCACGCGTACCATCACGTGGCTTCTCAGCACCTGTGGGAGCCCAGCAAGGGCAGCTCACAGCCTGTCCTATGGGACTGGCAGCCCACCCCCTGGGCTACCGCCTGCCAGGCAGCCCCTCACTCTTACCCGCACAAAGATGAGCAGGCTGGAGTCTCCCACGCGGTACTTCCCCTCTGAGACCTTGATCATGGGAAATTGGTCTGGGCAGGTGCAGTGGCCCAGGATCTCCCTCACCTGAGGCCAGAGGAAAGGCTGGAGGTCAAGGGTCAAGTCCCTCCCCCTGGAGCCTTACTTCAGTGACCCCAGGGTCAGGAGGAAGTCCAGGGAATGGGGGCATGGACTGTGTTGCCCCAGACTTGGGTGCAGCCTCTACACTTGACGTTTCATGAGCAATCCTTCCCCTTTGGCTATCAGGGGTCAGGGAACCAACCAGATGGTGGTCAGGCCAGGGCCTGGGACCCCAAGGAGGCACATCCCTACCGCCCCTGAACCTGGGGGAGTCCTGGAGCTGTCCTCACTCTCCCTTCACCCACTTCACAGATATGAAAGCTGTGAGGCCCACAGGAAGGCCAGGTCCTGGGAGGAGGCAAGTTACAGAACATGAGTGCAGGGGGCCTACACCATACTGAGACGGAGTGCCACAGATGTGGGGTACAGCACACATCAACATGCACACACAAACCACCCGCCTGGCAAGCATACCTCTGCCCACGTTCCTCCAGGCCCAGAGCTGCCAGGCTGGCTATGTGGGCAACCCCGCCTGCCTCCTCACTCACGGCGGGGCTGGAGGAAACGGGCAGCTGGAGCCTCGGGTGACCCTGGTCCAGGACGGGGGCGGGGTGGCAGTCTCTGCCCACGCCATCCGGCTATCCCCCCCAGGATGGACACATCATAGTCCTAATCCCTTGATAAGAAGGAAACTCTTGGCCCAACTGCGGGGGTGTCAGGGACACCTAGGTCCTGGGAGGAGGAGGAGGAAGCTGGGGGCATGGTCTGACACCTCCTATGCTCAGAGTAGAATAGAACTAAGTCTGCAGCTCCCAGCAGCAGCATATGCCCAGGGCCCTGGGGAATGGGAGGGGCCTGCAGAGCCCCTGGGAACTTCCCTAGGCATTCACTGAGTACCTACTGTGTGCCAGGCACCCACTCAACCTCAAGCTCCATGCTGTTGTGGATACAACTATCTAGCATTCGAGTGAAGGAACACAGGGGGAGCTCAAATCATGTGGCCCCTGGATGAAGGAATTCACAGCACTTATCTGGTACCTAGTTAGTACATAAAAGGGGGGTAGTCATGCAGTGGAGCCCAGATTTTATCCCAGGTCAGCTGGGTCATGTGACTTCACCCTGTACCTCTCCCTCTGTGGGCCTGTTCATCCATCTCCTTGGGGCCAGGTGATGCTTACACTTGGTACTTAACACATGCACCCTTTCCATGGGGCAGGCTGTCCTGAGGAGAGGTTCAGGGACCAGTTGTGGGCACTGGCTCTGCTGTCTGGTCCCTGGCACAAAGTGCAGGGTAAGAACATAGCAGGGGCCAAGGGACTCACCAGCTCGTCGAGGTTGCGCAGGTCGCTGGGCGTCATGCGGGGCCCGCGGGTGGGAACCCCTGGTGCAGCGGCAATTTCTTCAGTGTCCTCCTCGGAAGTGGGTGCATTGGGGGCGTTGGGGGCCAAGGGTGCTGCGCGTAGCTCCTGCTCAATCTCCTGTTCGAACTGCACGAGGCGAGGGGCCAGCAGGCCAAGGCGGGCCCCGCGCCGGGCCACCTCCAGCAGGCAGAGCACCACGCTTTTCTCATTTTTCCGCAGCACCAAGTCCTCAGTCTCAAACATAAGCACTTCAGGCACACCCAGCTCTGTGCGGCACCAGCCGATGAAGGTGGCAACGTTGTCACGGGCCATGAAGGAACCAGGCGCCACACTGTGTGCCTGGAAGGCCACACCACGGGCTGGGCGGGCAGCAGCCAAAGCACGGGCGGCCTCAGTAACAGCGTTGGCATGTTGGCACAGGGTGGTACCTGTGGCCAGCCCCGTCAGGAAGCCATCACCACCACCAGGCAGACCCAGGCCATACAAGGCATTGAGCCACTCCGCTAGGTCCTCCTTCATGGCCTCCACATAGGCCTCACTGGAGCGGAATGGCCGCACACTCTTGGCTGCTGAGCCTGCGATACCCGCCACTGGGTCCGCCATGCCCAGGCCAGCCGAGTCACTGTGGGCAAGGACACAGGTCAGGATTGCTGTGAGGACCCAGCAAGCATTCAGTACAGACTAAGTCACTGACCCCCTGCACCTGCCTGTCATTTCAAGCCAAATGCCTGAGTTTGAGCCCTGGCTGTGAAAAACTTCCCTGTACCTCGGTCTCCTGGTTGGCAAAATGGGCACAATATTACTTCCTCTTTGGACCTAATGGTATAATTTTTATAAATGACTAATTGTCTATAATTGTTTGCTGTTTCGCTCCTGGGCGGGGCGGGGGGGGGGCGGGCAATTTTGGGGACTTGGTTGAGTTCTCCCTTCCAGGCAGAGAGGAGCTCATCTTTTCTGCCCTGTGTGACAGGGATAGGGGATTGGGAGGTGGGGGGGGGAGAGAGAGAGAGAGAGAGAGAGAGAGAGAGAGAGAGAGAGAGAGAGAGGAAGCCCACAGCTTCGGACTCACAGTGGACAGGAGAGGAGTCCAGGTCCCAACTAAGAAAGAGGAGCGCTCCATTGCTCAGGGATGCTGCCGATCCCACCTCCTCTGGGAAGGTCCAGGGTCCTCCCTTAGCCCCCTTCCCTAAGTGTCATTATAACAAACGACATAGCAGTAATAGTAACAGCAACCACACTGAGCGTAGCCAGGCCTGAGAGCGCTATGATATTATCTCCATTTTACAGATAAGGAAACTGAGGCGCAGAGAGGTTAAAAACTCCGTCAAGGTCGCAGAGACCAATGGGTGGCGGAGCGCGGGCGAAGCTGCCGCGTTGACTATCCCAAGCATGATCAGGCAGCCGCTGGCCGGGGCCAGGCCCCGCCTCCGAGGAACCTCCCTGGCGCCCAAGCCGGAGTGTGCGGCCGAGACTCGGCACGGCCTCCGCCAGCCCGGCCCGTCCTTCTGGAGTTTGGCCCAGAGAGGGTACAGGACCGCCCAAGGTCACACAGCCCCGGGGAACAGAGGCCGCCGCCGCCGCCCGGTTCCTCATCAGTGCGTATCGTCAAGGCGGGCGGTTGCTGGGGGTCCCCGCGCTCACCTGGCTCATCCCGCGGCCTCGGGGAGCATCGCCCCGGCTGGGGCCGGAGCCGGGCCAGGCCGCCGCAGAGAGGCGACTTCCGAGCCACAGCGGATCCTAGTCCCGCCTCGGCGATGACTGCGCCCGCTGTCTCCGCCCCGCCTCCCTGGAATTCGGATCAGGCCCGGAGGGGCGGGTGGGGGCGCGCGCTCTTAAAGGGGCCGCTCACTTCCCCAGCCCGGCCGGCAGACTTGGGGAGGAGCTGGAGTCTCCTGACTGGGGGGCGGGCCAGGAACCAGGTCTGTGACGAGAGTGCTTGGCCCTCCCGGCTTGGGGCAAAGGCGGGACCAGGGTTCCCAGGCGACCCTACCAGCCCAGAAGCCCCATCCCCACCCAGCATAGTCCCCACAGTCCCTTCCACCCTCCTTGGTCTTCTGGAGAGCGATTTGGGCGCTTCTAATTGCACCAACCCTCCTCTCCCCCACCCACCCCCCCATAGTGGTCTCCCTGGAGAAGGCCCCTCAGCCTGTTCCCAAGACAACTCAGGAAGCAATAGAGGCCAGAGGCTGCAAAGTCACCTCCGGCTGGGGTGGACCTCCCTAGGTCAGATAAATGAGAAGAGGCGAGCTTTCCTTGGGTAGTGCCAACCTCAGAGAGTGGGAAGATGGCCCCCTTATGTCCACTCAGGGTCCTGCTCCGCACTGAATGTGCATTTTTAACCCTGAGTTTAGGGGAACCCGTTTCTCAGATGAGGACACTGAGCCTCAGAGGGTAGGTGAGTGACTAAGACCTAGGGTCCCCTGATCCTGTGATCCCTGCCCTACAGCCAGGAGAGAGCCAGACTCAACCACTTCTGGCCGCCTAGGTCAGGCACTGAATTAAGGGGAGAGGAGGGTTAGGGGCTGCCTGATTGGCCTGGTTCGGGAGGGTTAATCCCCTGCTGGTTTCTTTTCAAACTGCAGAGGAGGGACCTGGCTGGGATCAGCGGGAAATCCTGCCCCCTGCTGCTGCTGGCTGGGTGGAGACGTCAGGCCTGGCTGGGCCACAGTCTTGCTGGCCTGGTGGGGCCAGCTTGGCAGGGGAAGCGCCACCAACAATAGCCAAGGCTTAGAGCTTTGCTCCTACTGTGTGCCAGGCCTGCTCTGTGCCCTTGACCTGAAGGAATTAGTGAGTCACCTCTATGAGAGACACTTTTATGCCCAAACAAGGGCTCAGTCAAGAGAGCAGCTGGAGCCAGGGTTTGAACATGACTATTAGGAGAATACCTTCATTTTAGGATCAGGGGCATTTATTGAGTACCTACAGTATGCCAGACCTCCTGGTGCCAGGCAGCTCACATGCATCATCTCACTGGGTCTTCATGACCTTTCAAAAAATGGGAACTCACCCCAATGCCTTGGGTACCCAGGTGGTACAGTTTCCGCTCTAGCCTCTCCTCCGGCCCCCTCCCCCACCATCGAGTGAGGAAGGCCCCTAACTAGTAATAATAATGGCTGACTGTATGCTGAGTCTCTTGGCACTGGCAACCAAGAGCAGAAAGCACGGAACAAACAGAACTAGTTCTCAGGACTTGGGTGAGGTGCTGGGGAGGAGACAGAAGTGGAGGTAGGTGAAAGGGAACAGGAATCTGGAGCACAGGGGTGGGATGGGCCTGTAATTTTAAATCAGTGATCAGTAAAGGAGGTGAGGAAGGAAGCTGTATGGAAAGGAGAGCTTTTCGAGTAAAGGGGACAGTCAATACAAAGGCCCTGAGGTGGGAGTGTGCTTCTGTGTTCAAGAAAGCCTGAGGAGGGGCCGGCCGAATGGCACGTTGGTTAAGAGCTGGCGTCCCAAGCCAGCTCTGAGCAGCAGGGCCCTGGTTTGGATCCCACATGGGGGCCAGTGACACTGCCCTCTACAGCTAAGATGGTGAACAACAGCTCGACCTGGAACTGGGCTGCTGTGAGTCACTGGCGACGGCGTAGGCTGCAGCCCCCACTGCAGTGGGTTGCCATAGGCTACCATGAGTGGCTGACAGTCAGCGTGAGCCACTGTGAGCGGCCGTCCAGAGGCCGGCGACCGATCTGCCTCACCCGGGAAGAGCACAATGATGGTGCCAACTTGGGCCAGTGAAGCAACATCCTCCACAATTAGGCTGAAGAACAAAACGACAGCAACTTGTCTGTTCCCCTTCCCCTGATTCCCCAGCACTGTTCTCCTCCCCTAATTCCCCAATAAAATCTTTTTTAAAAAAAGAGTGAGGTGGGCCAGCTGAGTGGCTCAGTTGGTTAGAGCACGAGCTCTGAGCAACAGGGTCACCAGTTCAATTCCCACATGGGCCAGTGAGCTGCGCCCAGGCTGAGCTGCCAACAGGTGGCAGAATGGCTCAGCTGGTGAGAGCATGTGCTCCTAACAACAAGGTTGCCTGTTTGACTCCCGCATGGGATGATGGGCTATGCCCGCCTGCAACTAAGGCTGAACACAGCACCTTGAGCTGAGCAGCCACAAGCTGCTGTTGGAGCTGAGATAGCTGCGCCCTCCACAACTAAGATTGAAGGACAACAACTTGGCTGTTCCCCTTCCCCAATTCCCCAATAAAATCTTTTTTAAAAAAAGAAAGAAAGAAAGAGTGAGGAGGCCCATGAGGCTGGAGTGGAGGGAAGAATGAGAATACAGAGATTGAGGCAGATCAAGTAGGCTTTGTGGTCCACACCTCTTTCCAGGCACATGAGAGCCATGGAGGGATTTAGAGCAGGGGAGGAGTGTGACCTGACTGTGGCTGCTGTGGTGGGCAGGGCAGGAGCCCTGGGGGAAATCAGGAGGTGGCAATGGGGTTGGTGATAAGATGTTGGATTCTGGCTGTCTTTTTTTTTTTTTT